AGAGGTGCCCAGAACTGTGGTGGTGCTCACAGGGGTCCCAGGATGAGGAAAGAGATGAGAATCTTGACTCCATGTTTCAGAAGGCTGGTTTATTATTTTATGATACCTGTTATTTATAATAAAAGTAAATTACATATTAAAACTACAATAAAGAATAGAAAAAAGGATTTCATCAGAAGGCTAGTAAGGAATGGAATGATAATAAAATCTTGTGACTGAACAGAGAGTCCACGACAGCTGGACTGTGATTGGCCATTAATTAAAAACAACCACATGAGACCAATCAAAGATGCACCTGTTGCATTCTATAGCAGCAGATAATCATTGCTTTTCTTTTCCTCAACTTCTCAGGAGAAAAATCCTGGCAAAGGGATTTTTCAGAAAACATCCTGGTGACACAGAACCCCACCAGGAGCTGCCCTGCAGTGACTCAGCCGGGTCAAACCCTTCCTCCCGACACCTCGGCGGTGTTTGACACTTGCCCTGGCAGAGGCTGAGCTCTAATAATAACAACCCCCACATTTTCTACAGCTTCGGGAAATCTCGGGCGGTTTTGCACAGCCTGGAGTCTATTTGGAGCTCAAGGCTTCTAAGGATGTGTCAAGGACGGAGAGTTTTGGTACCTGGGAAGGCATCACGGGAAGGGGCCGTTGCCAGGACAGCTCTGCTAAACCACACCAGCAGGAAAACAACGATGGCTGAGTGAATTTGCCACTGTCATGGTCTGGATTAAACACCCTGGGGATGAACAGGGCATCTCTCTCACAGCCCTGATTTCAGGATGAGCATCTCTCCCATAGCCCTGATTTCAGGGTGAGCATCTCTCTCACAATCCTGATTTCAGAGTGTGCATCTCTCACAGCCCGGATTTCAGGGCGTGCATCTCTCACAGCCCCAGTTTCAGGCTGTACATCTCTCTCACAGCCCCAATTTCAGGGTGTGCATCTCTCACAGCCCCAATTTCAGCCTGGCCAGGGTTAATATCCCTCTCACAGCCCCGGTTTCATGGTTAGCATCTCTCACAGCCCCAGGTTTCACCCTGACCAGGGCAGTTTGGGTTCTACATCCCCGTTCTGTGACGTTCTCCAGGGATGGGCAGGAACACGAGGTGGGGCTGGGAAAGCCTCCAGCACCTCAGGGCGTCACCAAAATGTGTCCCCACACCTGGAGCAGGTGCCCAAGCCCCGGGCAGGTGCGGGGAGGGAGCAGCGAGGCCGGGCCGGCTCCAGAGCAGCCCCGGGGCGCTCAGGGGAAGCCCGGGAGCGCTGGAGCGAGCAGCGCAGCCTTTGTCCCGGCTGGGTGTGCCCTTCCTGGCATACAATTCCCAGATTAGCCAGAGCCGGGCTGCCAGCAGCTCCTGCGGCCCGTGACCGAGCTGGGAATGCTGTCAGGGCTGGGAATGTCTGGGGGCTGGGAATGCTCTGAGGGACGGGAATGCTCTGAGGGAAGGGAATGCTCTGAGGGCTGGAATGTCTGAGGGCTGGGAATGTTCTGGGGCCTGGGAATGACTGAGGGACGGGAATGCTCTGAGGGCTGGGAATGTTCTGCAATCTGGGAATGCTGGCTGGGAATGCTCTGGGGCCTGGGAATGTTCTGGGATCTGGGAATATTCTGGGACCTGGGAATGGTCTGAGGGAAGGGAATGTTCTCTGGGCTGGGAATGCTCTGAGGGCCGGGAATGTTCTGAGGACTGGGAATGTTCTGGGATCTGGGAATGCTGTGAGGGCTGGGAATGTTCTGGGATCTGGGAATGCTCTGGGAATGTTCTGGGATCTGGGAATGCTCTGGGGGCTGGGGCTGGGAATGTCTGAGGGCTGGGAATGTTCTGGGGCCTGGGAATGTTCTGAGGGCCGGGAATGTTCTGAGGGCTAGGAATGTTCTGAGATCTGGGAATGTTCTCCGAGGGGTTGCACAGCAGATACTCCCCTCCAAAGCACCTCATGGGCCACTGCCAGACTTGTGAACGCCTCCAAATTTCAGCCTGAGGGGGGCTTTGTGCAGGATCGGCCCGCTGGCTGTGGAAAGCCTCCATTCCGTGGGGAATTCCTGACCCTGGCTGCCCTCAGCCAGCAGCACGTTCCTCCCGCAGGCAGGGACAGCCCGGGAGAGAGGAAAAAGCCATTTCCTTCGTTCTGTGCTCCTGCAGAGCCCAGAGCCAGCACGTGGGGACACCACGGGAAAGGTGCCCTGTCCCCCTCGGGACCCCCAGAGGGAAACTCTGGGACAAACCTGGCCAACAACAGGGCTTTGCTGGGTGGGGTTTTACCATTCTGGGATTTGCTGAGGGTGCAGGAGGTGAATCCACCCACCCCAAAAAAACCTGGAAAACCGCTTTGTCCCTTGCAGAGCCGGTCCCATCGTGCTGTCCCCGCTGTCCCCTGGCCTGGAGCCGGAGCCAGCGGTGTCTGCGCCTCCCAGCCGGGTTAGCCCGGCTCAGCTCGGCTCGCTGGGAAGTCGGACAGTGCCACCTGGTGCTCCGAGGAGATTGAGAACCGGAATCCTCGGGTTGGAATGGACCTTGAAGGCAATCCAGTGCCATTGCAGGTGTGAAAAATGCATGTATTTTATGATTGGCACTTCGCAAATATTAAAATGAATATTATATGTGTTGTGTTAGAAAGTGATGCTGTGTTAATTCTCTTAAGTAGTGTGTTAAATATAGTTTTAGGTTATAAAAAATGTTAAAATAGAAACTATGCTATGTAGGATACTTTTTTCAAATAAAGGACTCGCAGCGAGATAGCAGCCACAGGACACCTAAATCCTTCAGAGAAAGAGAATTTATTGCCCTCTTATCAGAAGAAATGAACTTCTTCCCGCCTCGAAGGCGCTGTCAGGATTCAGAGGAAGAAGCTCACGATGACCAGACAGAATCCTGTATTTGAATGCAATTTATGCATCATGTATGAAGCGTATGAATATGCAACAGGCTGTTGTTTTCAAGGGTTAATCCTTTGTTAACGTGGGTCCTTTTTCAGGCTTGTGCTGCCCAGAAAAAGCCACCCAGACTGTCCGTAACTCTTTGTCTTTATTGTCTCATATTGTCCTAACTCAATTTGTCCAAGTTATTATTACTCTAATTGTATTACTATTTTTATAACCATTTTATTACTATTAAACTTTTAAAATTTTAAAAACAAGTGATTGGCTTTTTTCACAGCAGGGACACCTTCACTGTCCCAGACTGCTCCAACCTGGCCTTGGCCACTCCAAGGTCAGCCCCAGCTTCTCTGGGCACCCTGTGCCAGGGCCTGCCCACCCTCACAGGGAGGAATTTCTGCTGAAATCCTGTCTAGCCCTGCCCCTGGCAGGTAATTTCTGTCCTGGCTCAGCTCCTGAGCAGCAGCAGCACACCCCAGGGGTCTGCAGGGCTCTCTGCAGCCCCACTCAGGAGCAACTCCTCCTTGCTTTCCATCCCAGCGCCCAGGGCAGGAGCCTGCAGTGGAAACAGAGCCAGGCAGGGATGATGTCAGTGCTGACAGTGTCCAGCAGCTCCCTTCTGATGGAACTGACACCAGCAGCTGAGCTGGGAATAAACCTCTCCCTCTGCTCCCACCCTTCCCCCTCCTGGGGCCATTTCATCACCCAGAGCTCCTGGAATGGCACGGGGCAGATGTGCCTGGCACCAACGGGCCAAGCAGTCCCAAAAGCCAAGGGCTGCCCACTGCTGACCAGCGCATGCCAAGGTTATTCCCTCCTCAACTGGGAGGGATGGAAGAACCTCCAGGACTCCCTGGGGAGCCACAGCCTCTGACAGGGCAGAGCTGGGATCAGTTTTGCTCCTGGTTCTCCATCCTTACACCTTTTCCAAGGCCTGGGACTCTCCTCAGCAGCATCCCAAGGTTATTCCCTCCCCAGCTGGGAAGGGCCATTGAAGGATGGAAGAACCTCCAGGACATCCCTGGGGGGCCATGGCAGAGCTGGGATCAGTTTTGCTCATAGTTCTCCATCCTTACGCCTTTCCTGGGACCCTCCTCAGAGCATCCCCCACTCTCCCCATCCTCTCACCCCCCTCACCTGAAGCCCTTTGCTGGCTGCTCGTGTTCCAGAGCCTCTTCCCCAGGGACACCTCTGCTTTTGGGGGCCCTGCACCTTCACCTGACCAAAACAATCGCAAAATAAAGGACAGTGACTCCCCCGAGCTGTCACCTCCCGTCCCTCTGTGGAACTGAACTTCTCTCAGGAATGGCTGAGAGAGGATCCTCTTATTCCAGATATTCCAAAGCCAAGGGACCCATTCCAGGCAAGAATCCCAAAAATCCCTGGGCAGAGCAGATCCCTCGGAGCGCTCCTGCCGGTCGGGTGATGCCATAATCGCACTCGGGCTCTGCCCAGCCCCAAAGCTCCGCTGCTTATCTGGCATTTGCCAGCCCCGGCAGCCTCCCTGGCAGCGGCCCAAGCAGCGAGGAGAGGAAAAGCAGCTGGGGTTCAGATTGCTGAACCCTCCAGGGCTGAATCTCTCTCGGGCTGCTGCGATTTCCCCCAAAATCTCCGCGGATTTCGAATTCCCTGAGGCGCTTGGTGGGAGCCGCCTCTGCCACCGAGGACTTCGGTTTTTTTGACTGCTGGATCGATACGAGTTCCCTCCTAGGAAAAATAAACTCTCAAATCGTTACTTCAACCGGGCTCTCAGCCTGGCAGGGGAGGAATTTAAGGTTCAGCCGTGAGGAAAAGCCAGGGAGGAGCCGAGGACGTGCGGGAGAGCGGATCTCCGGGGATGGCACCGGCTGTGCGGTACCAACCCCGCACCCTGCACCCCCCGAGCCGCAACAGGGACCGGGAGATGCTTCAGCCTCCCCCAAGGAACCCCCAGAACCCCCCAAAAAATCCCCCGGAGCGCGGGGGTTGGTGCCTCTAGAGGGAGCTGAATAAATCTGAATAAAGCGCGGCTCTATCTATGGTCACTGGGGTTGGGTTTCTACTTGATTTTTTTTTTCCTCTTCTTCTTTTCCCTCCTCCTCCTCGGCCCCGCGCGCTTCCTTTGCCCGGGCGGGAGGCAGGAAGGGAGCGGCCGGAGGGATGGAGCGGGTCCCGGCAGGGATGCGGTAGCTCCCGGGACATCCCGACGCGCCGGGACGCGGTGAGTGGAGTTTTCCCCCGTTTCCCCCTCCCCAAACTCTCCCGGAACGGGTTATCCCCGTTCTCCGGTCCGGGATGGGATGGGCAGGGACGCAGCGGCGGTGCGGGGTGCGGGGTGCGGGAGGGGGGACAGGGACAAAGTTTGCGGTGGGTGCGAGAAGCCCCCGGGCCAGGGCTGGAGGTCCCGCTCCGGGCGGGTCGCTGCCCCAAAAAGGGAATTTTCCCGCCCCAAAAAGGGAATTTTCCCTCGTTTAATCGATATTTTTTCCACCCGGGAGGTGACAGTGCCCGCGGCATCAGGGCAGGGGACACCGGTGGGCAGGGGATATCGGTGGGCAGAGCTGTCCCCGCCGGGGATCGGGTGACACCCGTCCCGCCACGCCCGGGCGGTGACCCGGACACGGGCACGGCGCGTGGGGCTGTGCTGGCCCCGCCGGGACCCCCGAGCACGGTTTGGGGGTGACCTTGGCTGGATGGATGGTGGCGGTCCTGTGCCCACCCTGGGGCCGTGCTGGGTGGGCAGACCCCAAACTTGCAACCCCCGAACTGGGCAACCCCCAAACTGGATGACCCCCAAACTGGGCAATCCCCATATTGGGCAAACACCAAACTGTTCAACTCCCAAACTGTGCAACCCCCAAACTGGGCAAATGGCCCCAAACTGGGCAAATGGCCCCAAACTGGCCAATTTTTGCTGCCCTGGGTCAGGGGCAGGAGCAGCCCTGGCCCCGCTGGCCGGTCAGGGATGGGGTCAGGGATCCTGTGGGATCTCTGTCCTGCAGGAATCGCTGCCAAATGCTCGTCCCAAGGGATGCTCCATCGATTTCCTGGCATTCATAACAGTCAGGGGGTGATTCCAGAGCCCCTGGCTGGGCTCGGATATCAGGATTGCAGCTGCTTTAACTCCTTGCAGCCTCCTACAGGACCCTCGTAGTGTGGATGAGACCCTGCAGCTGCCCCGACACCCTCCATTTGAGCCCTGACTCACATCTTGGAGGGTTTTTATTTCCTGCAGCCCCGGGCTGTCTCTGGGTGTCTGGGTGTCACCTCCTGGTTCACACCCTTGTTCCTGTAACAAAGGGGGAACAGGGAAGCTGGGAAGCAGGAGGAGCACGGGCAGCAGCTCTGGAAGCTGGAGAGGATGGCCTGAGACACTCTGAGCCCTGCAGAGATGGACAGTGAGCTCTTCTGGGAGTCCACATGGACATTTGGGGCCGGTTGAGGGTGGTGACAGCAGTGACAGGGCCTCAGCATCACGTGTGACAGAGAAAACAGCGCTGCCAGGACCCAGAAGGAAACCGAAAACAAAGGACACCGCAGGGCTTCAGAAATGAAACTCAAGTTGAAAATCATGAGTCATCTGCTCTGGGCTCCTGTGCTGCACAGGCAGCGCCGTGCTCCAGGAAGCCCTCGCTCCTCACTTACCCATCCCAGGCAGGAAAAGTCCCTGTCACCCCTGGGCATCCCTGTCACCCCTGGGCAGCCCTGGGTCTCTGTGGGCACAGCCCTCTGCCCCACAGGCCGAGTTGGAAAAGCTCCAGAGGATTCTGAGCTCTATGCTGGGTGCACTCACACCCTGCCCAGCATCCTGTGCCACCTGAGCAGTGTCACTGCGGGGTACAGAGGAGATCCCCACTGTTCCCACAGCTCCAAGGAGCTGCTCCCAGCTTGGGAACAGCTCTGAGTCCTCCCAGTGCAGGTGGGCTCAGCCATGGGCTGGGATGGCAGAGGGGGAAGCACAGGAGGCTCCTGAGTGGGGGAGGAGATGGACATCACCCAAAGGATCTGTACATCCCAGGGGATGGACACTATCCAAGGGATCTGCACATCCCAAAGGATCTGTACATCCCAGGGGATAGACACTATCCAAGGGATCTGCACCATCCCAAAGGATGGACACCATCCAAAGGATCTACACCATCCTAGGGGATCTCCACCATCCCAAAGGATGGACACCATCCAAGGGATCTGCACCATCCAAGGGATCTGTACATCCCAAGGGATGGACACCGTGCAAAGGATCTGCACCATCCCAGGGGATCTGCACCATCCCAGGATAGGGAATTCTGTGATTCTGAGAGCCAGGAGAGGCAGCTCTGCAGCTGATTTGGCCCGTGCCCAGCAGCTCTCCCAGGGATTTACCCCTGGTCCCAGCTGATGATCCTCACTGCCTTCTCAGCTCTGTCTTGGATGGGGATTTTGTGTTTGGGGAGGAAGGGGGCAATCCTGTCCTCCATCCTCAGAGTGTAGGAAAAATCAGCATTTCCATCCTGCTCACCAGGCTCAGGCCCCTGTGCAGCTGTGCAGGACCTCGTGGTTTTCCCAGCTTTGCACTTCCAGGCCCCATCCCACAGCAAATGGGCTGTACTTCCATTTCTTTTGCCTTCTGAACAATCTCCAGTTTGAAGCCATGAGCTTGAACCACATTGTGCACTTCTTCCATACCCATGAGTGGTTATTTATCCCTACCCAGCACTTCTTTATTTTTGTCCAGGATGCAATTTAAATTTTGAGGTGTCAGGAACTGTGTTTCAGCTTTGGTGCAGATGAGGAAAGTCCCCAGCTCAACCCTGTGGAAGTGTGGGCTGGGAATGTGCTTTGGAATGTCAGACAGCAGCAAGGAGCTGCCCTGATCCCATTAATCCTGACAGGAACTTTGTGGCCTCAAGGACCTCTGATGAGCCCTGAACTGCAGGTTTAGGACACCTGTGAACTTCAGGGAAAAGATGAGCTTTGTGTTTTGTTCCCATTTATTTAATTTTCTTATTTTCTGAGAGGGGAAATGTAAAGAACAAAGGGAGTTAGAGGAAATTGGAGTCCTGGAGGAAATCAGGGCTCATCTCATGGTGATGTTGTCAGGCAGCTCAGTGTGGTCACAGCCAGGAAACCTCAGAGCTGCTGGAATTTTTGTTAAAGACTTTTGGAAAGCTCTGTGGGCTGGGCTGAGCAGGAGCTGGTGCAGCCCACAACTTTTGGAAGCAGTAGGAAAGTCCATTAGAGGTGTGAGGTCTCTTTTCATGACAAAAATGACATCAGCACCCTCCTTAGAAAATGAAACCATCATCAGCATCCTTGTAGAAAGGGAACCAGGGAAGTCAGAGTGCACTCAAACCCCTCCTGTGGGTACAGAATGAGTGTTCTGCAGGGGAGGAGCAAGCTCTGGCCAAGATAAAAGCACTGGGCTCTGCTCCTCGGGCTGTGAGGGGCCACAGGGCTCCTCCAGGCACTCACCATCTCCATCCCCTTCCAGGTGAAGCTGCCATCCCCAAACCTCTCTGCAATGGCCTCAGGGAATGAGGGGAATGAGGAACGCCGGGGGAGCCACGGGCTCAGCTCAGGTAAAGGGTTCTGGGGGCTCTGGGTGCTCCCCTCCTCTTCAAACCTTTGTTTTTTAATTCATTCCCATGCTGTGTTCCTTTGGCAAAATGGGATTTCCTGTCTTCAGCTTTTTGCAAGGCTGGGGTAACAGATCTGCTCTGTAAGGAGCTGGATTGGACTGGGAGGTGTTCAAAGCTTTTGGGAAATGCTGGGAGCATCCTGGTCTAGAGGGAGGTGTCCCTGGGTGGAATTGGGTAAGGCTTGATGTTCTTTTCCATCCAAAATAACCAAGGATTTTGTGCTTGGCATTGGATGGTCAGGGTGGGCAGCAAGGTGGGATTGGAGGCACGGAGAGAACAAAGTGCTGGGAGCTGTCTGGAGTTGTGCATTGCCTTCCCTGAGCATGAGAGAGCAGGAGGTGTTTGGGGTTGAAATCACAGAGTAAAACACAGATCTCAGACAGTCTGGGTGGCCTGGGGGTGACACCAGGTGCTGTGTGCCCTGGCAGGGCAGTGGTGACAGGCTGGGAGCGGGGCCACTGTCCCCATGTGAGCCCAGCCCTGCCCTGGTTACTGGGTGAAACTGGGAATGGGGCTGGCAGGAAAAACCCTCAGCTCAGCCCAGCAGGTGAAGGGTGGGACACGGTGACTCCTGGTGCTGCTGGGCAGGTGAGGAGGGTAAATCACACACAGAGCAGACATGGAGCAATTCCTTCCTTCTAGAGATCCCTGAGCAGCTCCAAACCTCCCCTTGGCACTGTTTGCCACCAGGCAAACCCTCATCCAGATCCCTTGGGTGGGAGAGATCCCAAGAAATCCCAATGGGAATAGCACCTGTGGGAAGGGGGAATCTGTCCTCCTGTCCTGGCGTTCCTAAAAATAGCTCCAGGGATTTTTTTTGGTGCAGAGATTTCCTCTTGTCTGGCTGAGTGTTTGCCCTCCTCTCCCTGAAACTCTGATTCAGTTGGTTTCATTTTCTTGCTCTCCCCTTGGAACAGTCACAGACTGCAACTCTAAGAAAGTGAAAGAGAGGGGAAATCTGGAGATCTGTTTGCCAAACAAACCCTTCTCTAGGAACAGAAAATAACCCCTGGAAAAGTGACAGGAGCTGTCCTTTCCCTTCAGCTCTGCTGGTGTCACCTGAGCATGGCAGATCCAGCCAGGACAGGGAGGTGGGAGCAGCTGGCAAAGCCTGTGAGGAGCATTTGGTGGGGTTTGGGGTTTGGGGATGGGGTGTGTGGGGCAGCACTGCCAGCACAGCTGTGCCCTCACTTCCCAGCCCTGGGCAGGAAAATCTCAGGATGGAAATGCAGATTCTGGAGAGCTGTGTGGCCAGTCTGGATTTCTGGGATTTCTGAGATTTCTGGGACGGTGGGACAGGGTTTGGTGTTCCTGGTCCCTGTGGGGTCACTCAGAGGGGCTGTGGGAGCCACTGTCCCCTCCTGGAGCTTCTGGAGCAGCCCAAACCGAGCTCCAATCCAGGACATCCCGTGGGGACCTTGCCTGGAGCTGTGGAATGTGTGTGATGAGGGATCTGTCACCGCAGGGCTGAAACACTCCCTGCTGCAGGGGGGCTGGTCCTGGCTGTGTGGGGACAGGGACACCTGTGTGGGTCTGCAGAAGGTTCTGTGGGAACATGTGTGGGTCTGGAGACATTTTTGTGGGCCTGGAGATGTTTATGTGGGCACAGGGACATGTGTGTGGGTCTGGAGAAGGTTCTGTGCGGACATGTGTGCATCTGGAGAAGGTTGTATGGAGACAAGGACAAATGTGTGGGTCTGGAGAGAATTGTGAGGGTGTAGGGACACCTGTGTGGGCCTGGAGATGGTTCTGTAGGCCTGGAAGATGTTTATGGGGGGATAGGGACATGTGTGGGTCTGGAGAGGGTTGTGAGGGTGCAGAGACACCTGTGTGGGTCTGGAGAAGGTTCTGTGGGGACATGTGTGGGTCTGGAGAAGGTTGTACGGAGACAAGGACAAATGTGCGGGTCTGGAGAAGGTTTTGTGGGTGTAGGGACACCTGTGTGGGTCTGGAGAAGGTTGTGTGGAGACGAGGAGACCCGTGTGGGTCTGGAGATGGTTCTGTGGGGACATGTGTGGGTCTGGAGATGGTTGTGTGGGGACAGGGATACATGTGGGGGTCTGGAGAAGATTGTATGGAGACAAGGACAAATGCGTGGGTCTGGAGATGGTTCTGTGGGGACATGTGTGGGTCTGGAGATGGTTGTGTGGGGACAGGGATACATGTGGGGGTCTGGAGAAGATTGTATGGAGACAAGGACAAATGCGTGGGTCTGGAGGAGGTTCTGTGGGGACATGTGTGGGTCTGGAGGAGGTTCTATGGGAATGGCCCCTTCCAAACCTGAGAATGGAGAGAGCTGGCCTGATGTCTCTCCGTGTGTCCCTGCAGAAGGCCGCGTGGCAGAGGAGGCTGAGGAGGTGTTCCGCAGCTACGCCTTCTACCGCTACCAGCAGGAGCGCCAGGAGCGCGGCGCGGAGCTGCCGCCCGACCCCGAGATCGAGCAGATCCAGCAGGAGCTGGAGAGGTAAATCCCTGCTCCCACCCCTCCCCTGAGCCAGGCCGTGCTCCAGAGCCTGGCCTGACTCCTCCTCACCCCCCAGCACGGGCAGCCAGGTGGGGCAGCGCCTGGCCATCATCGGGGACGACATCTACCGGCGCTACGACGCCGAGTTCCGCACCATGCTGGAGAGCCTGCAGCCCACCCGCCACAACGCCTACGAGACCTTCACCAAAATTGCCTCCAGGTAAAGCCTCAGAGCTCCTGGGGTGGGCTGGGGGCTTCCCCTGCAGGAGAAGGGAAGGGGAGGTCAGGTGTGGTCAGTGCTGTTGGTTAAACCCACACTCTGTTTGAGCTTCACCCTCCAGCCCTCGAGCTTCCCGGGGTTATTCCTGTGTTTCCTGCCTGTCTGCACTGCTCCGATCATTGTGCCCTCCCAGGCCTTGCCCAGCTGCCTGGGGTCCCTCAGAGGATGTCCCCCACGCCTGTCACAGCTCCCCCTCTGGGGCACAACCAGCTCCTGCTGTCCCCTGCTCCAGGCTGGGACATCCCAGGGAACAACCCCTGTTGGAGGTGGGATGGTCACAGAAATCTTGGAATCATGGAATGGTTGGGTCAGGAGGGACCTTGAAGACCACCTCAGTCCAACCCCTACCATGGGCAGGATGCCACACACGAGGTGGCTCAGAGTCCCCACCCAAGCTGGTCCTCATGGACACCTTGGTATGGGAGTGGCTCCATGGGCTGGCAGAGCCTGCAGGTGACACACACAGAGCCTCCTGCAGGTGACAGCCACCCAAAGCACAGTGACAGGTGAGGAGTGAGGGCACAGACCTGGAAAATTTCCTGCCAGGACTTCCCAGGGAAGTCTGGATTGAGGAGGCACCAAGGGGTTCTGTGCCCACCCAGGTCAGGCAGGACGGGTCTCTGGGCTCCTGTCACTGCTCCAAACACGTCTGGCTGTGACAGCCCTGTCCCTGTGCTCGGTGTTTGTGTCTAATTCCTTCTTTTCTCCAGTGTTTAACTCCTTCCTTTCTGTCCTTTTCCTGCTCCCCTATCCGGGCAGCCGTGCTGGCTGAGGCGGCAACACACGCAGGTAAATTAACCCCTGTCCTTGTCCTTGTCACACTCAGGTAAATTAACCCCTGTCACACTCAGGTAAATTAAATTAACACCTGTCCATGTCCTTACCACACTCAGGTAAATTAAATTAACCTCTGTCCCTGTCCTGGCCACACTCAGGTAAATTAGCCCTTGTCACGCTCATGTAAATCTCTGTCCTGTCCTGGTCACACTCAGGTAACTTAACCCTTGTCACACTCAGGTAAATTTGCAAATTGTTGTGGAGCTGCTTTTTCCCAGCACTGTTTGGATTCCCACGGAAAATTCTGAGCGTGGCTCCATTTCTGAGTCACTTCTCTCAACTCCCATGAAAAGATTTTCTATAATATCCAACCTCAGCTTTTCCTGCTACAATTTTGGGGCCATTTCCTCAATGTTGACTGCCCTGCTCAAGATTCCCCAGTGTAGGCTGGCCAACCCTTTTAGAGAAAAAAAATTCCAATAATATCCAACCTAAGCTTTTCTTGCTACAATTTTGGGCCATTTCCTCAATCTTGACTGTGCCGCTCAAGATCCCTCAGCTTGGGCACCTGTTCCAAGGCCGGCCAACCCTTCCAGAGGAAAAAAATTCCAATAATATCCAACCTAAGCTTTTCTTGCTACAATTTTGGGCCATTTCCTCAATCTTGACTGCACTGCTCAAGATCCTCCAGCTTGGCCAAGCCTTCCAGAGAAAAAAAATTCCTTAATATCTAATAAAAATTTTTCCTAGTACAATTCTGGGGCCGTTTCCTCAGTCTTGACTGCACTGCTCAAGACTGAGCAGTGTAGGCAGCTGTTCCATGGCTGGCCAATGCTTCCAGAGAAAAAAATTCCAACAATATCCAACCTAAACTTTTTCTGCTACAATTTTGTGCCATTTCCTCAGTCTTGACTGCCCTGCTCAAGATTCCCCAGTGTAGGCTGGCCAACACTTTTAGAGAAAAAAAATTCCAATAATATCCAATTTCAGCTTTTCCTGGTACAATCTGGGGCCGTTTCCTCAATCCTGATCATTTTGCTCAGGATCCTCCAGCTTGGCCAACGCTTCCAGAGGAAAAAAATTCCAATCATATCCAACCTAAGCTTTTCTTGCTGCAATTTTGGGCCATTTCCTCAATGTTGACCGCACTGCTCAAGATTCCCCAGCTTGTTCCAAGGCCGGCCAACCTTTCCAGAGGAAAAATATTCCAATAACATCCAACCTAAGCTTTTCTTGCTACAATTTTGGGGCCATTTCCTCAATCTTGACCCCGTTGCCCTGGCCAGCTCCGAGCTGGGAGCTCCGGGCAGGAATTCAGGCATCTCCTGGGTTTTTTTTTTTTTGCAGCCTGTTTGAGAGTGGCATCAACTGGGGCCGGGTGATCGCCCTGCTGGCCTTCGGGTACCGCCTGGCCATGCACGTGTGGCAGCGCGGCGTCAGCGGGTTCCTGCGGCGCATCGCGCGCTACGTCGGGGAGTTCATGCTGCAGCACCGCATCGCGCGCTGGATCGCGCAGCAGGGAGGATGGGTGAGCGGCCAGGGGCAGCTCGGGGCAGGGTTGGGCAAGTTTGGGGCAGGGGGTGGGTTTGGAGGCAGCTTTGGGGGCAGTTTTGGGGGCAGATTTGGGGGCAGGCAGCAGGGTTTGAGGATAGCTTTGGGGGCAGGTTTGGGGCAGCTTGGGGTAGCTCTGAGGCAAGTTTGGGGTAGGTTTGGGGGCAGGGGGCAGCTCGAGGGCAGGTTTGGGGGCAGGGTTTGAGGCAGGTTGGGGGGGCAGGGTTTGAGGCAGTTTTGGGGACAGGTTTGAGATAGCTCTGGGGGCAGGGGGCATGTTTGGAGGCAGGGGGCAGCTTTTGGGGGAGCTTTTGGGGCAGGTTTGAGGCAGCTCTGGTGCAGCTTTGGGGGCAGGGAGCGTGTTTGGGGGCAGGGAGCGTGTTTGGGGGCAGGCAGCAAGGTTTGGGGGCAGGGGACAGCAGTGGGGGCAGTTTTGGGGGCAGCTTTGGGGGCAGGGTTTGAGGCAGGTTTGGAGGCAGGTTTGGGGGCAGCTTTGGGGCAGCTTTGGGGGCAGTTTTGGGGTAGCTTTGGAGGCAGAGGGCAGGGTTTGGAAGTAGGTGGCAGGGTTTGGGGGCAGGTTTGGGGGCAGCTCAGGGGCAGGTTTGAGGCAGGGTTTGGGGGCAGGCAGCTTTGGGGGCAGCTTTATGGACAGCTTTAGGGGCAGACAGCAGGGTTTGGGGGCAGACAGCAGGGTTTGGGGGAAGCTTTGGGGGGAGGCAGCAGGGTTTGGGGGCAGCTTTAGGGACAGTTTTGTGGCAGTTTTGGGGGCAGAGTTTGGAAGCAGGGGGTGGGCTTGGGGGCAATGGGCAGGGTTTGGGGGCAGTTTTGGGGTCAGGGCTTGGGGACAGGGGGCTATAGTTTTGGGGTCAGGGGGCAGGGTAGCTGAAGGGGTCAGGGATTAGGGGTCAGGGGCTGAGGTTTGGGGGTCGAGGACACTGCCAGGACTGACCCCCCCGTGTCCCCTCCCTGGCAGGAGGCCGTGCAGAACCTGGACAATGTTTACGTGAAGTACCTGCTGGTGGCGGCCGTGGTGGTGGTGCTGGGGCACCTGGTGCTGCGGCGCTTCCTCACCCCCTGACGGGGGCACCGGGCACCCCCTGCTCTGCCCCACACCCCCGCGACTGGGGCGACCCCAGGAACCCCCAGGAGAGAGCATGGCTGGGGGCTCTGCAGGGCCTGGGGGCTCTGCACCCCCAGGAGAGGAATGGGGACAGGGGGGTGCTCTGCTTTGTTGGGTTTGGTGCCTCAAAAAGGTGCTGAGGAGGGCACATGTCTGGGAGGGGACATCTCTGGGATGAGGCATCTTTGGGATGGGGCATCTCTGGAGTAAGTTTATTTCTGGGAGGAGACATCTTTGGGATGGGGCATTTCTGGGAGGGGGCATCCCTGAGATGGGGCATCTTTGGGATGGGACATCTCTGGGATGGGACATTTCTGGTGAGGGGCATCCCTGGGATAGGTTATCTCTGGAATGGGACATCTCTGAGATAGGGTGTCTCTGGGATGGGACATCCCTGTCCCCCCCAGCTGCTCTGGAGGAGCAGAGGGCTGTGACAACGGCCCAGTGGCAGCGTGTGACAATGCCAATGTGGCACACAGTGCCCCAGTGGCAGCGTGTGACAATGCCAGTGTGTGCCCCTGTTGGGTCCTGTGCCCCCGGGGCAGGAGCAGAGCCCCCTCCCCATCACTGACAGAGGAGCAGAGCCCCCTCCCCATCACTGACAGCTCCACCCCTGTGCCCCAGGGCGATCCCAGCCCTGGCTGCTCCAATCCTGCTGCTCCTGAGCCCAGCACTTGAGCCTTTCCCACCACTTTGAGCCTTTCCCACCACTTTGAGCCTTTCCCAGCACTTTGAGCCTTTCCCAACACTTTGAGCCTCTTTCCCAGCCTTTCCATGGACAATCCCGACCCTTTTCCATGCAAACCCTCCTGGCTGCAGCTCTGGGGGAGCCCCAGCAGCTCCCCCAGCACTGAAACCTGCGGGTGCCAGGACAGGCAGGGTCCCTGCCCTCCCCCTGCCCCAGTTGGGCTCCCTGGCTCTCACTGGGAGCCGCTGGAGCTGCAGTTACCCCTGGAGCAGGCACCAGGCTCCTTCCTCTGGGCAGGGATTGGTGCTGGTTCTGTTCCTGACCGTGCCTGAGCGATTTTAGGGTGAGCCAGCTCCTCTCTCCCACCCCAAACCTGATTTCTGCAGAGCAGGGAGCTCAGGCTGGGTGTTCCCTGTCCTGCCCAAGCTGCAGATGAAGGATCCCTCCCGCTTCTCCCTCTGCAGGCTGAGCAGGACCAGCCTGGGCTTTTAACTCTCCCATTTCTCCTGTCCCTGCCTCGTTTTTTAACAGAATAACCAACTTTTGCAGCTTGCTTCCATAGCTGAGCTTGGCATTTTGCTCCTGGCTGTTCCCTTTTCCCTTTTGGGAATGCTCTCAAGAGAAAAGCATTAAAATATTTCCTGTGTTATTCCCACTGCTGCTCGGTTGTGCAGGGCAGCAGAGCTTGGCTGTGCTCAGGTTTTGTGGCCGCAATTCAGGTTTTTGTGGCCACAATTCAGGTTTTGTGGCCACAATTCAGGTTTTGTGCCCTCCCCTGGCTGCTTTGTCCCCTTGCAGATCCATTTCTCCACACCAAATTCCCCTTCCCATGGTGCCACCTCCTCTCCCAGCTTGGGAGAAGTTTAATCTCGAGTTTCACCTCGGGTTTAAAGCCATTTCTCTGCTGTGAACCAGTTTAACCAGTACGATCCGCGCTTCCCCCTCCTCCCCAGCTCCTTTTTGGGTGCAAACGCCACCAGATGGAGCCTTGTGGCCACGATGGGTACGAGCCACCGTCGTTATTTCCCTTTTTTTTTTTTTTTCTCCTTAATTGACAAATCATCGTCGGTTCTCTGCTTGGGTTGTGTCCAGCAGGACTCGGAAAAAATAAAAATCAGCTTTAATTCGCTGCTTCAGACACACTCCTGGAACTCCGGAGGATCAGGGAGAGCTTTTGGTGCTCATTTAATTCTCATTTCCCAGCTAAAGCTCCCCCTTGCAGCTGTGAGGCCATAAAGGAGAATTTTCAGATTTATGGGAAAGGACTGAGCCTTAGGGAAGCCCAGGACAGGGGGGAGAACTCTTCCATGGGTGCTGTACAAAGGAAAAATTCCGTTTGATCCGTTTTTCTCAGGGGATTCGCAGAGGGAGGAGCTCTCAGGGCGTCAGGGCCTCTCCTCCCTCCGCTCTCTGCTCTTTCCTGGGTGGAAAAATGCTTGAACTGGGACTGGGAGGGTTAAACTGGGGCTGAACTGGGGCTGGGAATGCTGAACTGGGGCTGGGAATGATGAACTGGGGCTGGGAATGATGAACTGGGGCTGAACTGGGACTGGGAGGGCTGAACTGGGAATGCTGAACTGGGACTGAACTGGGGCTGGGAGGGCTGAACTGGGGCTGAACTGGGGCTGGGAATGATGAACTGGGGCTGAACTGGGGCTGGGAATGATGAACTGGGGCTGGGAATGATGAACTGGGGCTGAACTGGGGCTGGGGGTGCTGAACTGGGGATGGGAATGCTGAACTGGGGCTGAACTGGGGCTGAACTGGGGCTGAACTGGGACTGGGAGGGCTGAACTGGGACTGGGAATGATGAACTGGGATTGGGAGGGCTGAACTGGGACTGGGAGTGCTGAACTGGGACTGTGCAGGAGGAATTCCCCCAGGAGGATTTATCCAGGAGGATCCATCCAGGAGGATTTCTCCAGGAGGATTTATCCAGGAGAATTTCTCCAGGAGGATTTCTCCCAGAGGAATTCACCCAGGATAATTTATCCAGGAACAATTCATCCAGGAGAATTCATCCCAGAGTTTAGGGTGATGCATGGAAAAGGGCTGAGAACCCAAAGGAGTTTTATTTACTCCCCTTGAGCCTATTTTTTCTCCTCCTGAGCCTCTTTTTACACCTTTTGAGCCTCTTTTTACTCCAACTGAGCCGATTTGAGGGCTGTGTTTGATCCCACTCTCTCCCTCCTGAATGAATTTTTCCTGGATAAATCCTGGATGCAGGAGCCTGTCCCTGCTCTCCGTCCCCTCCCCAGGCTCCAGCTGTCCCCAGGGCTCTAAGGGACACTTGGTGGTGGCTCTGGAAGGGTGGGACAAGGACACCAACCTTGTTTTTCCAGGGGGAGAAGAGGGGGAAATGCACAAGTTGTCCCTTTGCACTGTGTGGGACACGCTGGGGTGGCTTTGACCTGCAAAAAAACAAGCAAAAAAAACCAAACCAAAAGTGTGTGCTTTTACATATAATCTGTTTTTAAATGATGTAATATATAAAAAAATATCTATCTATGTCAAATAAAAATGGTACACTGAGTGCAAACTCACCTGGCTGTGTGCAGGGTTTGCTTCCAGAAGCTTCCAGGAGTTTTGCTCCTCACTCCATGAGCTCTCCAGCCTCAGCTGCCTCCTTGATTTTGGGATTCCAGGTCTCCTTTAGCTTATTTTTTCAGTGAGGAGCTAAAAGGGAGAGAAATCTGCTGCTGCTCCAGCTCCTGGTGCCATCCCTGAACTGCAGAGCCTCCCTGGAGAGCATTTGGGGATGGAAAAGGGGAAATTGGGGTGGAAAATGGGAGATTTTGGGGGTGAAGAAGGGAGAATTTGGGCATGGAGGAGGGGAGGATGTGAGGATGGAAGAGGGAGAAATTTGTGGGATGGAGAGGAGAAATTGTGGGGATGGAAAAGGGGAAATTGGGGTGAAAGATGGGAGATTTGGGGGATGGATGATTGGAGATTTTGGGGATGGAGAGGGAGATATTTTTGGGCTGGAGAGGGGAATTTGTGAGGATTGAAGATGGGAGATTATGGGAATGGGGAAGGAAAGATTTTTGGGGTGGAGAGGGGAAATTGTGGGGATTAAGAGGGAGATATTTTTGAGGTGGAGAGGGAAAATTGTGCGGATGGGGAGGGAAAGATTTTTGGGGTGGAGAGGGGAAATTGTGGGGATGGAAGATAGGAGATTTTGGGGATGTCCAACCACCTGCTCCACCTGCCCAGGGGTCTCTGGGCTGGGTTTTTGGGATGCCAGGATTGAGGAACAGGATTCCTGGCAGGATTAACCCTGGGAATGTGTTGGGAGCAGAGCAGAGAGGGAAGTTTGGGATGAAATCTGCTGCAGGAGGAGCAGGGGGCTCAGGATTTCCACAGAACCCGCCAGCAGCAGATGAAAGATTGGAATCCAAAGGAATTTATTCCCCTTCAGCCCCTGGGGTTATAAATAACAAAATCCTCCCCCAGCTCTGCAACTTTGGCATCTCCAGAGGATTCCCAGAGCCTCTGGGAGAGCAAAGGGTGAAATTAAAGGGAGGAGAAATGGCCCCGATTAAAGAGGCAGCCGCTCCCCTAATCCACTTTGTGCCCTGCCCCAAACCCAGATCCTGCTCCTAATTAAATCACCAAAAACAAAAAATTAAAAATAATTAAGGGCACACTGTCAGTGCAGAGTTTGCCTTTGGCCATTCAGATTTGGGATTGACCCCAAACAGAAACCAGGACCTGGTGCCAAGGGAGAGCTGGAGATGGAATTTGAGTCAAGTGTCTCCAAAACTGGGTCACACCCCAAAAACCCTGAGTTTTGTGGGAATAAAGGATTTTCAAACCCCAAAACCCCTCAGTTTTGTGGCAATAAAGGTTTCCAAACTCCAAAATCCCCAACTTTTGTGGCAATAAAGGTTTCCAAACTCCAAAATCCCCAAGTTTTGTGGGAATAAAGGCTTTCCTAGGTAATTTCCAGGGCACAAAGTGAAAGGCAGTGGGCAGGAGCTGGGAGAACACTCCTGTTTTTCTCATTTCCCTTTTTCAAACAGAACCCTTCCCTGCCAGGCACGTTTCCCTTACTGGAATCCTCAGGGCCTGGCTGGGATCCCATGGCAGGATAATCTGACAGAGAGATTACACAGTCTTGTATATCTTTATACAAGATATTTTTGTATATTTTTATTTATTTTATATATATTATATGTTATAATATAATATATTATTATGATACATTATATATATTATATAATTTATTATATAATATGTATTCTGTAATATATAATATATAATTATATAATGTAGATAATATAATAATATATAATAACATATATATTATATAACATATTATAATATATGTTATATATAATATAATATAATATCTATTATATTATAATATATTATGTAATATAATATAATATAATATAATATAATATAATATAACATTATATTATATTATATTATGTAATATATAATTATATATATAATTATGTATATTATATATTGTTATATATATTATATTATATATTATTTAATATAATATATATAAAAATATATAAAATATAAATTAAACTTTTAAAAACTGAAAAAACCAAACCAACTCAAACAACAAAAAGAAATACCAACAAAAAAACCCCCACAAAACAAATAAAAAAATTAAAGAAAATTAAAAGTATGGTGGTGCTTTGATTTGTTTTTTCGAGTTTTTTTTTCAGTGCAGCACAAGGAAACGTTTCCTGCCGCAGTGTCGGGGCTGGCAGGTCACAGGGATGGCCACCAGGGTCCTGCCTGTCCCTGCCACGTCCTTGGTGGCAGCCAGGAGTCCCCATCCCCATCCCCATCCCCATCCCGGCCCTTTATTGCCGCTGTAAATCAGGGAAGCTCCGCCGGCTCGCAGGAGCTGTGCAGATTTACGGCAGGAGCTGACCCTGCATCTCTATTTCCAGATCTGGGGCGGATTGAAATATGCAGCTTTTCAATAATATATTCAGGTTAACGGGGCCTTTCTATCGGAGCAATGAATCGTGCGCGGAGCGAGCCCCGGCGGGCAGGACGTGCGGGGGTTGCTAAGGAGAGCCAAACAAACAGCTCCGTTGTGTAACTGAGCTCCCTGCCCGTCCCAGCGGGGATGCTGCACAGCCAGGACCCCAAATCCCCGCGGCCCCAGCCCTGGGATGGACACGGGGCCACTGCAGAGCAGCCTCAGCTCAGCCTGGGCTGCTGAGAAAGCATCCAAAGCTGGAACATCCAGGTGGAAATCCATGGGAAGACGAGGAAACCGTCCCCACATGCCCAAATTCCCCATCTCCATCCCCACAAATTCCCCATCTCCATCCCCAAAATCTCCCATCTTCCAACCCCACAAATTCCCCTCTCCATCCCCAAAAATTCCCTGTCTCCATCCCCACAGATTCCCCATCTCCATCCCACAAATTCCCCTCTCCATCCCCAAAATCTCCCATCTTCCAACCCCACAGATTCCCCATCTCCATCCCACAAATTCCCCTCTCCATCCCCAAAATCTCCCATCTTCCAACCCCACAGATTCCCCATCTCCATCCCACAAATTCCCCATCTCCATCCCCAAAATCTCTCTTCCAACCCCACAAATTCCCCTCTCCATTCCCACAAATTCCCCATCTCCATCCCCAAAATCTCCCAACCCCACAAATTCCCCTCTCCATCCTCACAAATTCCCCATCTCCACCCCACAAATCTCTCCCTCTCCATCCCCATAAATCCCCCTTTTCCAGAGCATTCTCAGGGCTGTTTCCTGCTCCAGCACATGCCCAGGACAGGAGGAACTTTTAGGCCTGGACCTGCCCCTGTTATTTTTATCCCTTCCTCCCATTTTCTGTTCCCCCATCACCAGCAGCATCCCCAGCCTCACTCATTCACCGATCCCTGGGGTTTGACCCTCAGCTTCTCCACCTTCCAGCACATTCCATTCCAAACCAGCCCGGGCACACTCCTGCCAAACCTGTGGGGTTGGGCTCGTGCCCAGGGGGACAAAAATCTGAAAATTGCCAAATTTTGTGCTTTTTTTGCCAGAGCTGGTGGGGGCAGCAGGGGCTGACTGGGATGGAAACCATTCGGGCTCTTTCAGAGCTGCATGGTTCCATGACACAAATCTCCAGTCACAAATAGCAACAGGCTCAGGGAGGAGATGCAGGGCTGTGATTAACGAGCTCTGCATCTGTCGCTGGAACTGGGAATTCCACTGGACCAACCCACGGCAGGGCAGCACTCAGGCTGGCTGAAAATCTGGCTTTTTACAGCAGATTTTTCCCCCTCTTTCTTTCTCCTCCCATGAAAAGAATAATTTCCTTGGGAGCTCAGTGAAAGAGGAGATTTTCCTGATTCCTGTTGCAGCGTGTGAGGAGCCAGCCCTGCTCCTGCCTCCATGAAATCCAGGTAATGACCCAGAACTGCTGGGAATTAGTGTTTCATTTTGCCAGCCCTGCCAGACAGCTCCCTAATGGAAATTGATTTCTGGCTTCTCCCTCTGCCATTTTACACAGCCCTGGAACAGCTTCGTTTTAGCTGCCAGGGAAATTTCGGCCAAAGGGACGCACAGGTGGCCCTGGGAAACACCTGGTTAATTATTGGGGTGTTAATGAGGGCCTGGGGGAGGGTGGGCTCCACCATCCCAAATTCCCAGTGATTGTCTCCAAGCTCCACTACCCCAAGTTCCCAATGACTGTCCCCAGGTTCCGCCATTGCAAACTCCCAGAGATTGTCCTGGCGCTCCACCATCCCAAATTACCAATGATTGTCACTGGGTTCCATCATCCCAAATTCCCAGCGATTGTCTCTGGGTTCCAGCACCCCAAATTCCTGAAGATTGTTCTGGGGCTCCAGCACCCCAAATTCTGGGCTCCAACATCCCAAACTCCCAATGATTGTCCCCAGGCTCCACCATCCTGAATTCCCGGTGATTGTCCCTGGGCTCCAGCACCCCAAACTCCCAGAGATTGTCCTGGGGCCCCAGAACCCCAAATTCCAGGCTCCACCATCCTGAATTCCCAATAATTGTTGCCAGGGCTCCAGGATCCCAAATTCCCAATGATTGTCCCCAGGCTCCAGCATCCCAAATTCTCAGAGATCATCCCTAGGTTTCATCATCCTGAATTCCCAGTGATTGTCCCTGGATTCCAGCACCCCAAATTCCTGGCAATTGTCCCCAAGCTCCAGCATCCCAAACTCCCAACGACTGTCCCCAGGCTGCACCATCCTGAATTCCCAACGATTATCCCAAGGCTCCACCACCTCAAACTCCCAGCAACGGTCCCCAGGCTCCACCATCCCAAATTCCCAGTCATTGTCCCCAGGTTCCAGCACCCCGAATTCCCAATGATTGTCCCCAAACTCCACCATCCCAAATTCCCAACGTTTGTCCCCAAACTCCATTACCCCAAACTCCCAGCGATTGTCCCCAAGCTCCACCACCCCAAACTCGCAGTGCCTGTCCCCAGCAGCGGCTCCCAGTTTAATCAGCCCCAGCCCCAGCTCCCCGCCCAGTTTGGGGCCGTTTGGGGCCCTTTGGGTAAAACGCGGCTGCAGCTGCAGCACTCGGGGATCACTCAGTGACAGGGACAGCCCATCCTGGGTGTCCCAGCCCTTCCCTCGGCCAGGCACAGCGAGGCACTGACCCAGGTAAGGCTCAGGCAGCTGAGAAAAACCAAGAGAAGGTTTTCCAACCTTCCTTCCCCTCTGCAGCCCCAAAGGAGCTGGGGAAAATTCAGTGTTTTCCCATATTTCATTCTTGTGGTGTGTGTGGGGAGCAGAACTTGGCAGGGCTGGGTCACATTTAAAGCAGAACTGAATTTGGGTCAGTTTTTAGAACTGAATTTGGGTCGGTTTTCAGAACTGAATTTGGGTCAGTTTTCAGAACTGAATTTGGGTGAGTTTTTAGAACTGAATTTGGGTCGGTTTTCAGCTGTTTGCTGGTTCTGTGGGTACTTTGAGAGCGCCATGAATTGTCAGGTGAAGGAATTGTTGCTCAAGGTGGTGTTCGGGGTGTTTGTTCCTCGGTGAGGTGGGAATTTGGCACTCCCAAGCACGGTGTGGTGACAACAATAACAGCGAGCTAATTAGCAGAGTGTTAATTGTGAGCTGAAAGCCAAGCAGAGCCTGTGGAGCTCGGTCCCATCCCCTATTCCCCATTTCGCTGGTTCAGGGGCTGCTCCTCCTGCATTCCTAAACCCCAAACCCTCCCAGGTGCATTGTGTGCCTGTGCTGACAGCTCAGAACTGCTCTGCTGGCAGCTCCTGCCCAGCATTCCCGAGAAATGTTAATCAGGGTTTAATTCCTGCATGGATCCTGAGGGAAGGGGAATGTGGGGATGATGGAAGAGTGGCAGGTTCGGAGCTCTGCAGGGGAAGATGCAGGACAGACACTGAATTCTGGATGTGTCCTGGTCTTACCCTGCACTGGGTGGGAACATTTTTATTATTAAAGAAAAATTTCCCCTGCTTTTATACAAAAGGAACTCCGTGAACAAATTCAGAACCTCCCCCTGTGCAAAGGTGAGAGTTCTCTCTGCTGTGGGTTCCTGGAGCTGCTGGAAGGATTTTTTTCTGTCACAGACCTCTTTTAAAATAGAAATTAACATAGAAGAATAGAATTTAAAATAGAAATTAAAATAGAAAGAAAATGAAAATAAAATCATGGGGAAGTCTGGATGGAGTTTGGGTTTTCATCCTGAGGGCAGCAGAGAAGGAGGAGCAGCTCCAGGAAGGATCTCAGAGCCTGCCAGCCCCAGGAGCAGGGATGGGGACAGCCCAAACACCAGAATATTGCAGAGAGCTGTGAAAGAGTGGGGAAATCTGGGGGCAAACATCCCAGACAGGAATAATCCCCATTTCATAGAGGGCTGAACACATTAAATCATTTCCACCTGCCTTAGGGGCTGAAATGGGACATGGAATTAGAGGATGGAGGTAGGGAAAAAAACCCCATCCTTCAAAAGTGATGCTGTGATTTTGCTTTTAACTCAGAGCAGGAAAAGAGCGATTCCAAGCCCCTGAGGGAGGATGTGGGCTTACACCGTGGGCTTCACCGTCCTGCCCCACGTGGGAGGGTTCCTTGGCTGGTTCCTGAACAGGAAGGAGATCCCAGCGTGGTACGAGAAGCTGAAAAAGCCTTCGTGGTGCCCGTCCCGCAGAGTGTTCCCCGTGGCCTGGACCATGCTGTACACGGGCATGGGGTGAGTGTCCTGTCCTGCTGTCCTGCTGTCCTGCTGTCCTGCTGTCCTGCTGGCCCTGGCACAGCCAGAGTGACCCTGCCAGGCTCTGTCCCAGCTTTGGGGTGTCCTGACCCTGCCAGGTATGACCCAGCCAGATGTGACCCTGTCCTAGCCAGATGTGTCTGTCCCTGCCAGGTGTGACCCTGCCAGGTGTGACCCTGTCCCAGCCAGGTGTGACCCTGTCAGGTGTGACCCTGTCCTAGCCAGATGTGACCCTGTCCCAGCCAGGTTTGACCCTGTCAGGTGTGACCCTGTCCTAGCCAGATGTGACCCTGTCCCAGCCAGATGTGACCCTGTCCTAGCCAGGTTTGACCCTGTCAGGTGTGACCCTGTCCTAGCCAGATGTGTCTGTCCCTGCCAGGTGTGACCCTGTCAGGTGTGACCCTGTCCCAGCCAGATGTGATCCTGTCCCAGCCAGGTTTGACCCTGCCAGGTGTGACCCTGTCCCAGCCAGGTGTGACCCTGCCAGCTGTGACCCTGTCCCAGCCAGGTGTGATCCTGGCATGCTGCAGGCAGTGCCACAGCCTTGGGGATGCCACCACCATTCCTGGCACTGGGCAGGGGCCAGGAGCCACTTTGGTGGGACAGGGGAGGTTTGGGAGCAGGGAGGGACAGGGAATTGTGGAATGGAATCATGGAACAGCCCCAGCTGCAAGGGGATCATCCAGCGCAGATGGGTGATCCCAAAACCCCACCCTGGGCATCCCTGGAGCAGTGCCCAAACTCTCTGGAGCTCTGGCAGCCTCGGGGCTGTGCCCATCCCTGGGCAGTGCCAGCACCTCTGAGGGAAGAACATTCCCTGATTTCCAACCTAACCCTGCCCAGAGCTGTCCCCTGTCCCTGCTCCTGCATCCTGCAGTGCTGCCAACCTCTGCTGGGGCGCACACAGGGGCAGGAGGGGCTCTGTCCCTGCCCAGGGTGGCACTAACAGCTGTCCCTCCCCACAGCTACGCCTCCTACCTGGTGTGGAACGACCTGGGGGGCTGCAGCAGCAAGGCCATCGTCCCCATGGGGCTCTACGGGGCTCAGCTGCTGCTCAACTGGGCATGGCCACCCCTGTTCTTCGGTGCCCACAACCTCAACATGGTAATGGGGCTTCCCTGCCGGCTTTGGGGCGCTTTGGGGCCGTGCTGAGGGGAGTGATGTGGGAATTTGGGGCTGCAGCCACACACAGGGTGTCAGCCCCTGCAGGCTCGCTGTGATAGCCGGGGTGGGGAGCGGGGCTGGGCACTGCCAGGGCTGCACCCCCAGTTAAGGGTCGGGGCTGGGAGATAAAGCCCTTTGTGGGGTCACACCCTGGGTGACAACAGCACTGTCACATCCTCGCGGGGTCACACCCTGGGTGACAACAGCACTGTCACATCCCTGAGGGGAGCAGCTCTGGGGGCTTATCGGGCACAGCCAGGGCGGGGCTGGGCAGTGCCACACCCGGGCAGGGCCACCAGGATGTGCCACCAGGCTGTGCCACTAGGCTGTGCCACACCTGGGCTGTGCCACCAAGCTGTGCCACCAAGCTGTGCCACCAGGCTGGGCCACCAGGATGTGCCTCAGGTGCCAAGGCCCGAGGTGGCACAGGCACAGCTGGGAATTGGCGTTTTCACCTGGATTTTGTCGCTCTGGGGGTGAAAGGTGCAGTTGGGGGGTTTGTTCAGTGGCCACTGTCAGGAGCAGGGTGTGTCAGCAAAGGGGACACTGGCCATGAGCAGGGTGGGATTCCATAATGAAAAGAGCACATTCATTAATGTGAGCTCATGGTGCGACACACTCAGATGTCACTGTGCAGAGCCCAGGGACAGCATCGTGGAGGTTGGGGTCTCTCCAGTGTCAGCCCCCCATCCCTGTCCCACTTCCCCAGGTATTTCGGAAAGTTTGTTCAGTGGCCATCATCATGAGCAGGTTGTGTCAGCAAAGGGGACACTGGCCATGAGCAGGGTGGGATTCCATAATGAAAACAGCACATTAATTACTCGTGGTGTCACACAGGTGTCACTGATCAGAGCCCAGGGACAACACTGGGGGTCAGGGTCTCTCCAGTGCCAGGCCCCCATCCCTGTCCCACTTCCCCACCTGTGCCTGGGTAGTTTGGAGAGTTTGTTCAGTGCTCATCAGCACAAGCAGGCTGTGTCAGCAAAGGGGACACTGGCCACGAGCAGGGTGCTCGTCTGCAGGATTCCATCATGAGCAGAGATGAGCACATTAATTAATTACTCATGGTGTGACACACTCATATGTCACTGATCAGAGCCCAGGGACAATATCTGGGTCGGGGTCTCTCCAGTGCCAGCCCCCCATCCCTGTCCCACTTCCCCACCTGTACCTGGGTATTTTGCAGAGTTTGTTCAGTGGCCACTGCCAGGAGCAGGTTCTGTCAGCAAAGGGGCTAAGAGCAGGGTCTTCATCTGGGGGATTCCATCATGAGCAGAGCACATTAATTACTTGTGGTGTCACACAAGTGTCACTGATCAGAGCCCAGGGACAATATCTGGGTCGGGGTCTCTCCAGTGCCAGCCCCCCATTCCTGCCCCAGCTCCCCACCTGTGCCTGGGTATTTTGGAGAGTTTGTTCAGTGGCCATCATCATGAGCAGGGTGTGTCAGCAAAGAGGACACTGGCCATGAGCAGGGTGCTCATCTGCAGGATGTAGTAATGAGAAAAGCACATTAATTAGTGTGAGCTCATGATGTGACACACTCAGATGTGATCAGAGCCCAGGGACAGCATCGTGGAGGTTGGGGTCTCTCCAGTGTCAGCCCCCCATCCCTGCCCCACTTCCCCAGGTATTTTGGAAAGTTTGTTCAGTGGCCATCATCATGAGCAGGTTATGTGAGCAAAGAGGACACTGGCCGTGAGCAGGGTGGGATTCCATCATGACCAGAGCACATTAATTACTCGTGGTGTCACACAGGTGTCACTGATCAGAGCCCAGAGACAATATCTGGGTCGGGGTCTCTCCAGTGCCAGCCCCCCATCCCTGCCCCATCTCCCCCATCCCTCCCCCGGTCCCGGGGCCGTTCTGGCAGCCCGGGCCGGTCCGTGCCGCGTTCCCCAGCCCTGTGTCACCCCTGTCTGTCCCCCCAGGCTGTGATCGATGTGCTGTGCCTGGACGGGCTGGCCCTGGGCACGTTCTGCTCCTGGTACCGCATCAACCGGCTGGCAGCGCTGCTGCTGCTGCCCTACCTGGGCTGGCTGGCCATGGCCACCTGCCTCACCATCCGCATCTGGAAGGACAACCCCCAGCTGAAATCGGGCAAGAGCGACTAAAATCCCTTCTTGTGTCCTTAACTGGCCTGAGGTGTGCCGAATTTACAGGGGGAAAAAGCGTGTTCACTTCGTTCCTCAATGAGGGGGAGAGAGAAATGATGCATTTGAATTTATCATATATATATATATATATATATATATATAACTTGATTTTTTAAAGAAATTACTTGATTTTTTAGAAAGAAATTACTTGATTTTTTAAAGAAACCACTTGATTTTTAAATATATATACTACTTGATTTTTTAAAGAAATTACTTGATTTTTATATATATATATTACTTGATTTTTTAGAAAGAAATGATTCGAGTTTTTAAAGAAATTACTTGATTTTTAAATATATATATTACTTGATTTTCAGAAAGAAATTACTTGATTTTTTAAAGAAATTACTTGATTTTTAAATATATATTACTCAATTTTTAGAAAGAAATTACTTGATTTTTTAAAGAAATTACTTGATTTTTAAAATATATATATTACTTGATTTTTTAGAAAGAAATTACTTGGTTTTTTTACTTACTTTTTTTTTAAGAAAATACTTGATTATTAAGAAAAAATTTCTCCTTTTTTTTTTTTTTTGCTCTTTGTGCTGTTGCTCCATGTTCTGTATGCCCCAGTTTGTGTTTCAGCTCTTTATCTGCCAGCAGGGCTGGGTCTTGCTCTGCTGCTGGCTGGAGATTGGGCTCTGCCTCCTGTTTGGGGGATAAAGCAGCAATGAGCAGCACCCAAATGCTTCCCCCAGGAGGAAATTCCCTTCTTCCACCTCCTTGTGCCATTCCTGAGCAGAACTGAAATCCTCACAGCAGTGCCTTTGAAGAAAACTTCATTTTGTTCTTTTTTTTTAAGTACAGAGACATGAGAGTGTGTAAAATTGGTGAGCCTGCTCCCACTGTCTCAAAGGTTGTTATAATTAATAATATAATTAATTATATAATTGGCAAAAAGCAGAATCTGTCAGGTGCAGTGCAAGTGCCTCATCCTGGAGCATTTCTGTGCAATTATTAATCAGGAAAGGTTAAAACAACAGGAATTCCAAAGGAATGGGATGGGATCAGACACAAGGGACTCACCCTTGTTTTCCCCTTTTCCCTAGAAAAGCTCTGGTGTCTCCAGACAGAATTTACATCATTTTTAACTGCTAAAAGAACTAAATGTAAAGAGAAGGGGCACGTGGATCTTATCCTGGCACTGGCTGTAATTAATTGGGGCTGTAATTAATTGGGGCTGTAATTGGGGGTGGGGGGGGCTCAGCCGGGGCTGTAAAATTGTAATAAATTGTATTTGCTTTGAATAAAACGAGCCGTTGGCTCTTTGGAGAATAAATAAATAAATCCGAGTTCTTATTGCTGGGCTGGTTTGGGGTGAGGCTCCCAAAAGGGACCCAGGGATGGGATTTGGGGAGGCTCCAGAGGTGGATCCATTCCTGGGGCAGGTTTGGAACCCAAAAGGTGCCCAAAGTCCCTCCTTGGGGACATCCCTGTCACAGGCTCCTCTGTGCCACCAGACCAGCAAAAATTTGGCGATTCTGTCACTTTGATCCATTATTTGCTCCCCCTGGCTCAGGATTTCTCTCCCCAGGGCTGTGTGTCCCAAGGAAACGCTGCAGGAAAGGGCTGGGAGGGTTTTTGATGAAGCACTGGTGACATCTGAAAAAAAAAAAAAAAAAGAAAATAGAAGAAGAAAATAAAAGAAAAAAGGAAAAAAATTTTAAAAAGAAAATAAAAAGAAAGAAAATTGAAAAAAAGAAATAAAAAAAAGAAATTACAAAAATAAATCCTATAACACTTCAGAGCTTTCTTTTCTGTGATACCACTGCTCGTATTTACAGCTCCTGTGTCTCCCAGCAAGTCCCTCATGCCAAAGGACAAATGTAAATTATTTTTCCCACAAATGAAGGTGGGCTCTGGCTGCAGGTTGGATTTGGGGGAGTTCAGGCTGATTTCAGGGAACAGGGATGAGCAGGGCCATGCAGAGAAGGCAGGAGGGATTAAAGGAGCCTTTATCTCCTTTTGGAAAGGGGAGAGAATTATTTAAATCTCATTTAAATTGACGGCTCTAGATCTGGCTCATACCTGCGACTCTTTAATAACATTTCCAATTAAATAGATGAATGCATATTTGATCAGCTTTCATAAATTGGGTCGATTTCCTCTTCCCACTTTTTTCTGCAGGCAAAGGAAAATCTGAAATGAAGATTAATAGATTTTTTCCCAGCTGCTGGGAGTGGCTGCCTTGTTCTTGTTTTCCTTCCAGTTTCTCCTCCTCCCAGCCCACCTGTAAATGCAGAAAGAGCTTTTCTTTGCCTCCTGCCTCTTCTCACAGGCAGCAAAAATAGCAAATATTCCTCCCTGTGCTATCCAGGGCAACTTGAAATCAATTGGGAAAATTAAATTCAGTGAGACAAATTCAGTGAGACACCCTCCTGTATTAATATTTAAAGCATCATTTGGTACATTTGCTGTTTAAACAGATACACTGAACCCCCTTGCATAAAAATAACTTTAATGACATTTCAAAGTCGTCTGGAGGGTTTCTTGCCCAGACTGTGCAGCACAGCCCCAAAGCAGCCTTGGTTCCACAGAACCCTGGAATCCTGGAATGGTTTGGGATGGAAGGGAACTAAAGGAACATCTCATCTCACCCCTGGCAGGGGCAGGGACCCCTCCCACTGTCCCAGGTTGGTTCAAGCCCATGTTTGTACAGCCCCAACCCCAGATTTGCCTTTGGAATGGGCAAATCCTTTTCCTTTCTTTCTTTTTACTTCCTTTCCTTTCCTTTCCTTTCCTTTCCTTTCCTTTCCTTTCCTTTCCTTTCCTTTCCTTTCCTTTCCTTTCCTTTCCTTTCCTTTCCTTTCCTTTCCTTTCCTTTCCTTTCCTTTCCTTTCCCTTCCCTTCCCTCCCTTTCCCTTTCCCTTCCCCTTTCCCTTCCCTTTCCTTCCCTTTTTCCTTTCCCCTTTTTTTTTCCCTTTCCCCTTTTTCCTCTCCCTCTTTTCCTTTCCCCTTTCCCCTTTCTTCCTTCCCCCTTTTTCCTCTCCCCTTTCCCCTCTCCCTCATCTCTCCCATCCCTGCTCCAGCTCTCCCTGATTTCCCTGCCTGGCTCTGTCCAAGCCCCCGCCCAGGTGCCATCCAGGGTTTGTCACCTCCGTGCAGGTGACACATCTCTGGTGCTGCAGGACACCAATCCCTGTGCCTGGAGCTCTCCTTGCAGCAGAGCAGGAGCTGCAGCCCTGCTGGGAGCTGTCATTAATTGGCTGGCAATTAATTGGGGAGGCAGCAGCTCCTGCCAAGGCTCCTGCAGGGCCAGGCTGGGAATGGGAGCCAGGAGGGTGGGCACGAAGGTGAGGCAGGAGCCCAGGTGAGAGCATCCCTGGAGCACCTTGCAGCAGGATTTGGGCACTGCCCAGGTGGGACAGGAGCATTTCCAGCCCTCCTTGAAGCCCTTTTGGTGCTGAGGCAGTGTCAGAATCTCTGCTGCTCACAGTGACCCTGAGATGTGTTAGAAATCTCTTCTCCCAGCCTGGCAGTCCAAGAAGGAGTCAGAACTCTTCAGCTCTCATTCTCAAGGTTGTTTATTGTTTTCTTATCTATAAAATTCCTTCTCCCACCCCCCGAGGTCTGTCTGGCAGGTCAGGTTGAGGCACACTGGTGTTATCTTTTTTTACTAAAAACTACATGTACACTATTTACAATAACTTGCCAATACCTATCACCTGTGTTAGACAGTGAGCTTCTACTCTAAACCGATCTAAAAGTGCCAACATCACCCAGAAGATGGAGGCCAAGAAGAAGAAGTAAAAAGGACAAGGCACACACAAATTCCTCCCTCTTGGAGCCCCAAGCCCCCACTCTAAAAACCCCAAAAATCTATTTTTCACCCTGTGATAAATTCACTATCATTCCACTTAAACTTTCTTGGCTTTTAATTCTTCATATAAAGGCTGGTAATTGTTCTTTCCATGGGTCAAAATCAAAGACACAGGGACCCCCGAGCCCCCATTCTAAAAACTCCAAAAATTTATTTTTCACCCTATAACAAACTATAATTCTACTTAAACTTTCTTCACTTGTAATTCTTCATATAAAGGTTGCAAATTGTTTTTTTCCAAGGGCTAAATCAAAGGCACGGGGGTCTTGGGAGCTGGGCCAAGGTCTCTGAGCCCCCTGGGCAGGGGCTGGAGCCCTCCAGGGCATCCAGAGGAAGTTCTGAAAGGCAGGAGGAGAGGGCCAAAGGAAGGGAGGAAGGAAGGGAAGCTGTCAGTGTTTATTTATTTATTTGTCCCGTAGTTACAGCTGGAAAAAGCAGGAGGGGGCTGGTGCCAGACAGTGTCTCCAGGGAGACATTTGTTAGTGCCACCAGCTGTCCCTCGGCATGGAGAGCAGGGCTGAGCCATGACTCACCCAGCCAGGCTCCCATTTCACTCTCCCATCCATCCCAAAATGTTCCTGTGGCCCCACAATGCCGTAAAAGCTGCCTGTTCCTGGCAGGGCCTGTGGCAGGCAGGTGTGGCTGATGGGGACAGCCAGGTTAACTCCAGGGATTGCTGCTGCAGGGACAGGGACAGCTGTCACTGTGGGGCACGAAATGGCACGGACACGCAGCTCTCTCAAGGGTAAAAAGAGAATATTTCATTTCTGACTTCAACTTTACTAGATTTCCAACGTTTATAGATTTAGATTTAATTTCTGACTGCAACTTTTCTAGATTTCCAGCGTTTATAGATTTAGTTTATAGATTTAGATTTTATTTCTGACGGCAACTTTTCTAGATTTCCAACATTTATAGATTTAGTTTATAGACTTAGATTTCATTTCTGACTCCAACACTTCTAGATTTCCAAAAGTGACAGTGGATTAGAGGGTGACAGTGCCACCTCTCCAATGACACTGGACAAACCAACGGTCCGTCAAATTTCTCCTCCTCCATAAAATAATGCAAAACAATGAGTTATTTACAGAAAGTGTGTGAGAAAGTTTGTTACAGGAATGTAAACATCAGAAGGCCTAGAAAAACTTAATCAGGGTGACAGCCTGCAGGGGACACAGGGCTGCAGAGACCCCTGTTTGGGGACAAAAGCCATCAGAGTGCTCAGAGGTGCCTCTAAAGCCACTGAAGAAGCTGCTCTGGACTTGGATGGATGCAGGATCGTCAAAATCCAAAATTCCGGCAGTTGGAAATCCAAAATGCACAATTCCAGCAGAGCCTGGAAGCTTCTCCTCCCACAGACTGTCCCTGAGGCCTGTCCTGGTGTCCCCTGTGGGTGAACTGTGATCCCATGGGAGGGCTAAGGGAGCTGGGGAGGGTTTGGAGAAACCTGGAAAGGATTTGGAGAAACTTGAGGGAGCTGGGGAGGGTTTGGAGAAACCTGGAAAGGATTTGGAGAAACTTGAGGGAGCTGGGAAGGGTTAGGAGAGAATCCTGAGGGAACTGGCTGGGAAGGGCCTGGAGAATCCTGAGGGAGCTGGGAAGGGTTTGGAGAGTCCTGAGGGAGCTGGGAAGGGTTTGGAGAACCCTGGAAAGGGTTTGGAGAATCCTGAGGGAGCTGGGAAGGGTTTGGAGAGTCCTGAGGGAGCTGGGAAGGGGCTCAGCCTGGAGCAAAGGAGGCTCAGGGGGAATTTCTGGCTCTGCACAACTCCTGCCAGGAGGGCACAGCCGGGGGGGATTTGGGATCTTATCCCAGGGAACAGGGACAGGAGGAGAGGGAACGGCCTCAGGCTGGGCTGGGGAGGCTCAGGTTGGACATCAGCAGGAATTTCCTCATGGAAAGGGCTGGAAGGGGCTGCCCGGGGGGTTTGGAGCGCCCATCCCTGGAAGTGGCACTGAGGGCTCAGGGTGGGGATTGATGATCCCAGAGGGGTTTTATGAACAAATTCAGAGCCAAGTGGGTAAAATATGAAATCAGTGGGGAGAGGGACAGGTGGAGAGGAGCCTCAACACAAACTCTGCAATTTGGGGTTCCCTGAGCCCCTGAGGACACATTTGGGGTCACAGGCAGCCCCCAGAGCCCTCACCCACCTCCAGCTCGGACGCAGCAGCTCCGTGGTGCCCTTTTATATTTTTGGCTGCAGTGGGGGTTGGATCATGGCTGCTCCAAGCACTACCCTAGAAGGAGCTGGGGAGCAGCTGGGAAGGGCTGGGGACAGGGGGAGCCTCGGTGCCACATTCCCCAGATTAGATTAGAGCTCAGCCCTCGCAGGGGCCAGGCCAAAGCTGCAGCAAAACTGGGACCCCAGCCATGAAGAGCTTCCAAAAATAAAGCAGAGTGGGTCAGAGGGACTGCAGAGGGGCTGAGATGCTGCTTGAAAATACCGGGATTAGGAGGAAATGAGCTGTCAGTCATTGGGAGAGGATTCCCACCCCAAAAAGCAGCCCCTGAAATGTCAGAGGTGACAGCAATTGGACAGGGGAGGTGGAATCTGAGCGTTGTCACCACACAGGAGGCAAAACACCACCCCAGCCCTGCAGGAAAGTATTCTAGGCTTAAAAATAAATAAAATCCTGCACCGTGGAAGATATATGTTCCATGGATAGGATGTCTTGAAATTTGTCAAATCCTTGGTTGGGCTGTCACCACTGCCAGCTCTGTCACCTAAACAACACCACCCAAACAACAACTCTTCGAAGTCCCCAAAAACTGCATCCATGGTGGCACTGGGGAAAGCTACAAAGGATATCCAGCCCAGCAAAGGCAGGGTGATGGCAAGGGGGCTGGGAAAAGCAGCCAGAATTAATTATCTGTGATAATTTGTTATTAATTTTCTCTGATAATAAATGGCCTGCCTGGTGGTGCGGATTTATTTCACTTTGTGATGGTGCAGCCTCCTGCCAAGGCTCTAAAGAGCTGAATTTAACAGGATCACAAAGGCTGACTTGGCTCCAAAGCAGATATTCCCAGTGATTTGATTTTTATGGAATTCCTCCTCTCCTCCTCAAACTAAGAGCAGGTTTTTCCACTAATGCTGACTGAATACTCTATCAAATACAGCTGAATATTCCACATTTACTCAAACTTTACTGCTGGTGGTTCTGAGCAGAGCCCACAGGTTTGATTTCCAGTGTGCTTTGATTCTAAAATCCTGCCCAGCCACACTTTTCCCACCTCCTTTGCCCCATGGTGTGGGCAGGGTTGGTCCCTGGGAAAACCTCACCCAGGTTTTTAATTAAACTCGGCTCAGGCAGGACTGGTACAAACTGTAAATGATTGAAATTGAGAGTGAGATGCTGGGAGAGTTTCATATAATCCTGAAGGGAACAAAAAGAGAGAGAAAAACTCCTCCAACCCAGATACACCCAGTGCACTGGGAACTTCTGGAACACTCAGGAGGAAAATGCAGAACAATGGGAGAAGCAGCACTGCTGCCCACTGGGAATTCCAGCTGGAATTCCAAATATCTGGGAGAAGGTTCTGGCTTGGATTTACAGCTCCAACCAGGAGATTTCCCCCTGCATGAGCAGGGTGGGAGGAACCACAGGATGCTCCAGGTGATCCAGGAAGCCAAACCCACCAAAACCAGAGATTTTCCAGCAAAATGACCACGACCCTTTCCCCTCTTGCCTGAGCCAGGCCAGGCTGAGCTGGTCCCTCAAGGTCAGCCGTGGAATCCTCTGGCAGAGGAGGGAGAGGGCTGTGAGAGCAGGGGGTGCCCCGTGCCAGCCACCCGTCACCCCTCGGGATAAATACGCCCCAGAGCTTCCAGGATTTTCCATCAGGGAAATTTGGGCTCCTCCCGCCCACTGAGGAGTTGTCACTTGGTTTGAAATTAAAAAGGGGAGCAAAAGGGGCTGCTGAAAGGAGCTGGAGAGAGCAGGGGAAGGAGGTGACACCTGAGAGCCCTGGGTCACCCAAGCCTGTCCAGCCCCTGCCACCGGCGCCGCTTTGTTCCATATTTAGTTCCTGACAACTGTGCCTGGGGCAGGAACTCCCGGCTCTGTTTTCCCTCCTCCCTCGGCTCCCAGAGCTCTCAGACATTGCTCTTTCTCTCTCCCAGTGGCCACAGCTCGGTCCCAGTGTCCTGGGGAAGATGGCAGAGAAGCAGGAGGAGCCCAGCAATGCCCAGAACGGGGAGCCCGACAACGCCGAGGAGGGCGAGGGGAAGAAGAAGAAGGTGAAGAGGGAGGACCTGCCACCCTTTGAGATTGTCACAGGGTAAGAGACTGGGATTTAAATACGGATCTGGGGGAGTTCAGTGAGCTCTGTCTCAGCTTTTAGGTCGGCCAACACAAGCAGCATCTAGTGCAGCGCGTTTTGGAAGAATCTGAAATGGTTTGGATTTATCGTGGGATTTTGCTCTAAGTTTTGCTGACTTTTAGAGGATGGGCTCCCACCAGGCAGGCAGAAAAGTGCACTTGTTTTATAGAACAGCTCTGTTTCTGCAGTGCACTTGTTTTATAGAACAGCTCTGTTTCTGCAGTGCTGGTTCCCCCCCAGCCCCACTGACAGGATGGGGATGGAGGTGCTGGCTTTGATGAGAGCTCAGTATTGATTTCTTGCTGTGATCAATGGCTCTTGTCTGAGAGTTTCTCCACCTGTGGATCAGGAAAAACACCCCTGCTATGGCTGATTGGCTTGATGGGCCTGAGGGACAGATTTTTCAAGAGACCTAAAGGTTCACATTTTCAAGAGCTCCACAGCCACAGCTGGAACCTGACTTTCATAAAGAAACCAAAAAGCCCAACTTGCAGAAAAGCTCCAAAACAAGAGGCAGTTTTGAAGGCAGCAGGGCAGCAGGGAGCCTGGCCTTTGGAAAAGCAGGATATCCCAGGGCTCTGGTGGAAGCTGAACTCAGCCATAATTGAGAGCTGTAAGTAGGAAAAGCCCTGGGTGTCTGTCCCTGGAGGAGCAGCAGGATGAATCCTTCTCCCCTCATATTTCCCTCATCACCAAAGAAGTGTCCCAGCAAATAAACCAAACCCAGGATTTCTTCCAGTTCCTTAAAACTAAAATTAAACTTAAAACTTAGGCCTCCAAAATATCCCCTGGAATCCTGCTGGCTGTGCCACGGGCCCTACAGGTGAAATTTGGCTGCTTGTTCCAACCAGGATGAGTGAGGCAGGACAGCAGCCCTGCCACAAAACTGGGTTCCATTCCTGCTCAGGAGAGGAAAAATCTCCATTCTCTTCTCAAAATGTGAAAAAAATCCCTTCTTGGGGCAGTCTCTGTCACACATAATCACAGAAATAAATGATTGGCAGTGGCTTTTAAGGAAAGAACATCCCTCTGCTACGAATGGAGCTAAATTGTGAATATCAACCACTGGGCCAAGTTCTGAACACTTAAGACATGTCCTAAAATGAATTTGAATGAGGAAATGGGGTTTTCTAGCCTTGGAGCACTCAGCCTGCAGTTAGAAATGCTGAGGGACTGAGCAGGATGTCCAAACTTCCCTGCTAAGCCCAAGGCTCTGGGCTAACCATGGCTGGAAAAGTCCCTCAGCACCATCCTGCAGTTAAATCCTTTATTGGAATGCCATGGGTGCTCCAGGATTTGACAGGATTTTCCACCCTGCAGAGGGGACAGTGAGGAAATGAAACAAAAATCCTAAAGGAGCCCCAAAGGGGTAGAGAAACCCCAGGGAATTTTTTGGTTTCATTTTAAGGAGGACACCAGGAGATCAGGCCAGGCTTTGACCTGGGATCACCACCAGGGTTTTTCCAGTGATTTACAAATTCCCAGCCAATCAAGGCAGTCATGGGAGTGATGAGGAAACACAAGGGCAGCCAGGGAAGAAGCACTTAAACCCAATTAAATTGCATTTCAGCTTTAGCCCTTGGATTAGGGGCATCTCAGGACTCCCAGCCAAGTTCTCTCTGCTGCCCACAGCTCCAGGAGGAGTCTGGTTCCAGGAATCCCTGGGAAGCCAATTACTCTCTTTAAGAATATTATCCCTTTTATTTTTTGGCTGAACACAGCCTGTAATCCCAATCTGGGAGCATTTCCTGCCACGTTTATTTCCACTTTCCCCAGGTGTAAATGAGGCTCCTTGTAGGAATAATTCCTTGTTACTCTTTTAGATAATCCCCATTTTTATTTCCTTATTAGATGTCTTCTTCTCTCCTGTGCCAGGGTCACACTGGGTAGCTGCTCTTTCCTCCAGCCCACCTGATTTCAGCAACTTCAACCTCAGATTGAAGATTCTGCCTCAAAATTCAATTTTTTTTTTTTTTTTTTTTGGTCTCAATATGATCTATCACTTTGCCACCCAGGGAAAACGGATAAATTAGGTTGGAGCATTTAGAAATCCCTAAAAAATGTCATTTAATGATGCTTTTCAGGAGAGGTTTCCATTTGACCTTTCCTATCCTCAGGTGAGCTGCGCCACCCCAGCCTGGTGTCAGAGCAGGGGTTTATATTGAGAATATTGGGGAATTCAGAGTCTGTGAACAGTTTTTAAATTATTTCCATAAACATTTTCACTCTCCAGCAGGCTGGAGCCAGGTGGGGATCAGCCTCTTCTCCCAGACAACAGGATGAGGGGAAATGGCCTCAGATTGTGCCAGGGGAGGACATCAGGGGGAATTTCTTCACGGCAAGGGTTGCCAGGCACTGGAATAGACTCTGAGTGTTGTTGCTATTCCTTCTTGGAACGTTATTAATTGAACTAATGCAGATTCCAAAGTGCTGGGAGCAGAGTGGAGGTGAACATCCCAGCTAAGCCCAGGCACACGCTGAGATAAGCAAGAAAATCCATCAGGAAGGGCTGGCTAAATGCAGCTCCCAGCCAATCCAGCCTGAGTCAATCCATCTGGAGCAGGTTGCTGCTGCTTCAGCTGTTCCATGAAAAGCCAGAGCCAACCTCGTCACTGCTGTGACCCCTTTGCTGTCAGAGAGTTAAATCAGGGATGAAATTCCCTGTGCCTCTGATGTATTTAAAAACCTGATGTTATTGGGAAACCACTCGTTGCAGGCATCGCTCTGGAATGGGTGTCCCATGTCTGCCCTTCAAAAAATCATCAATTAAAGAATCCTCAGCCAAAGAAGCACTCATTGTCCAGGAAGCCAAGCAGGAAATGTGCTATTCTTGGAAGAACATGGGGTTTTTTTCTACTTTTCCATCCCTTTCCCTTCCCACCTCCAGAGCCATCCCATGAGATGTTCCACCACCAGGTGATCTCAGAGTCACAGAAGGGAAGATGTGGACCATAAATTAAAAGAGTAGGTAAAGTTTATCAGTAGGGAATCCAGCAGGAAATCCACATTTCAACAGCAAAGTTGGATTTGATCCTGGATATTTTCTAACCTAAACCTTGGAACACAGAGAAATCAGAGGCAATGCAGTGATTTGGGTGATGGGTAGAGGTGACCCAAAAGTGTGACCCTCACCTAAATCTGAGCCTCCTGTCTACTCTCTCCTCTCCTCTCCTCTCCTCTCCTCTCCTCTCCTCTCCTCATCCAGGGAACATCTCCCAGCCTAAATCTTGGAACACAGAAATCAGGGGTGATGCAGTGATTTGCTCATGGGATTTGGGTGATGGGTAGAGGTGACCCAAAAGTGTGACTCTCACCTAAATCTGCCTGTGAGCCTCCTCTCTGCCCTCCTCACCTAAATCTGCCTCTGAGCCTCCTCTCTGCTCTCCTGTCCTCTCAGGGAACACCTCCCAGCCTAAACCTTGGAACACAGAGAAATCAGGGGTGATGCAGGGATTGGATGATGGGTGGAGGTGACCCAAAGAGTGATCCTTACCTAAATCTCCCTCTGAGCCTCCTCTCTGCTCTCCTGTCCTCCCAGGGAACACCTCCCAGCCTAAACCTTGGAACACAGAGAAATCCGGGGCGATGCAGTGATTTGCCCATGGGTAGAGGTGACCCAAAAGTGCGACCCTCATCTAAATCTGAGCCTCCTCTCTGCTTTCTTCTCGCAGGGAACGTCTCCCAGCCATCTTCTTCAAATTCCAGTTCAGGAACGTGGAGTACAGCTCGGGCAGGAACAAAACCTTCCTGTGCTACGTGGTGGAGACGCAGGGCAAGGAGCCGGTGACCAGCCGGGGCTACCTGGAGGACGAGCACGCGGCCGCCCACGCCGAGATGGCGTTCTTCAACACCATCCTGCCCACGTGCCAGCCCGCTGCCCGCCACGACGTCACCTGGTACGTGTCCTCCAGCCCCTGCGTCACCTGCGCCCAGAGGATCTGCGAGGCCCTGCGCAAGAACAAGGGGCTGCGCCTCACCATCATGGTGGGCAGGCTCTTCATGTGGGAGGAGCCCGAGATGCAGGCGGCCCTCAGGAGCATGAAGGAGGCAGGCTGCAAGCTGAGGATTATGAAGCCTCAAGACTTTGAGTATGTCTGGAAGAACTTTGTGGAGCAGGAGGAAGGGGAGGAGGCCAAGTCCTTTGTGCCCTGGGAGGATATTCAGGAGAATTTTCAGTACTACGAGGAGAAGCTGGCGGAGATTTTGCACTGAGGCTCAGGTGAGTGAGGGGGTCACTCATTAACTCTGCTCTCTTTAATTTGGGTGCCAATTTCTCTTATTGTCAGCTGAATATTGCCAACATTCCCAGGCAGTGGGATTCCCCTTCCAGGGGTTCCCCCACAGCACATTCCCAAGGGATTTAGTGCTTTCCTGTTTTCTCCTCCAGGAATAAAGAATAAAAAGGTTCCAGGGCCACCAGAACCCCCCCCTGTTCCCCACAGGGATGATGTTCAGGACAAAAGGGAGAGGATGGAGACTGAAGAGGATTTTACTCACACCCCAAAGTCTAAAAAACATCAATAAAGGAAATCCCAGTGGTTCCAGAATTCCTTTTTCTATGGGGTACTGAAGAGTCACCTCTGAGTCTCTGGGATGTCTCTTTTCCCTCCCCAGGGTCAGAAAGGATCCATGAAGAGACGTGACAGACCTGGACACCTGGGACAGTCCTACTTCCCAAAGCTTTGATTCCAGCAGGATGGAGAACCAGCCTGTGGGAGACAAGGCCCTGTGGGACTCCAAACACACACACACAACACAGACCTCTGGTGTTTGGGATTTTTTTGGGTGTTTTTTTGTTCCTTCCCCTCCCTGCCCCAACCAAACCCGTTCTGTGGTGAAAGGGATGGCAGTGATCCGCAGGCAGGCTGTGGGATCACGTTCTGGGAATATTTCTTGGGAAGAGACCTTAGAACAAAGCTGCTGGTTAGATAAATACATTAGAAAGAGGAAAAGAAATTGATTTAAAGGTGAGAAAGAAGTTTTCTCCCTCTGTTCTCCTCTATAGTCAGAGCTGTGATTTAATTCAGGGCCAACAGCTCTCTTCCAAATCATGATGGAGCCCAAGAATTCGATATCAAACAATGTCATTTGGGATATAAACCTGGGAAAAGCAGAATGAAATAAAATGGGAAGCCACTGCAAAAGCCAAAACACTGTTTATTCCTTCTTCTCTACTTGCAAGAAGTCCTAAATTGAACCTGACAAGTCTGAGTTCAAGGACATCCCAGGACAGCCACACAGGGAATATTTTGTAGCTGGGAAGGGAGAACTAAATGCCAAAAAAATTTCCAGAGTACACACAAGTGCTGGAGAGCAGGATCACTTTCCATGTACAACAAAGCTCACGGGGATGCCATGAGTAAGGAACCAGAACAAAAACCCAGACACAAATTAGGGAAAGACTGAATCCATGAGCAGCCTCCATGCCTGTTCTGGATCAGCTCATTGCTCCAAATTCCTCTTTGTTGTTTTTCCCAGCTACAGCAATTCCCCACCAAACTGGTCTACAAAATATGGGCAAGGAACAAGGAAAGCAAGGATAAAGACAAACAGAACTGAGTAACCCAGTCCCTTCCCAAGGAATCCAATCAGGAACCCTGTCATGCTACAAAATTCCCAACTCTCGTGTCCCATTTTTGTATTTCTTCAACACACCTGGCACTTTTCTGGGCATGCAGAATGACACAAGTCCAAAAGAACTGTTATTGTGGGAGGATTTAAAAACCAAACACGAAGGGAAGGTCTGTGGCAGTTCCTCAGTTCTGCAACAAACTCTGCCAAATCAGGAGTTTTCCATGGATCTCAGAAGCAGAGGTGGTGCTGATTTGTTTTTGTTTTGAGTGACAAACACCAACCTTTGTGTAACACCTGGACTACAAATGCACCAAACAAAGAAATGTGAAAACCCCACCTTAAACCTCATCCTGTGAGATTTTAGAGCACAGCAGCCTGTTTGGATCCTCACCAAACAGAGCTCTGTAGATTATAAATTATAGATGTATAAAACACACCCACCAGGTGTATTTACCCCCCTCCAGCATTCCCTGCAATCCCAGCCTGTCCCCAGAAGAGCCACAGGTACCAATCCAACAGCAGGGCAGTGTTTATTTCACATCACACCATGATCCTGAGTGAGCACCACCTCAGCAAACCCAATTTGTGGCAGGAAGGGAGAAATGAAACCGTTCCACGTGTGAGGACAGGTGAGTGACCCCCGTGCCAGGCAGGGCATGGCAAACAGAACAAAGCAGAGGTGCCAGCCCTAACAGAAACCCCCAGTCCCCAATGGCAGCGGCTCCGTTTCAGTGCGTGGAGCCCCAGTGACACCTGGTGGCTGCAGGGACACTCTGGGAGCTCCCCCAGGCTTAGCACAGCGCCGCTGCCTCCTGCTAATTAACAGCCCAAATGAACTTCTCTGGAGCTTGCTGCTGCTGGAAGCCCCTGTCACTGTCACACGAGTCAGTGACACCCAAATGCAGAACGGGCTCCACACACAGGTCCCCCCTTGTCCGTTCACAGGTTCTGCTCCCAAAACTGGGGGAAATGGGGATCTGGGACCGCTCTGCTCACAGGCTGTACACTGTGATCTTGATGTCAGTGTTCTCAAACACCTCCTCAAGGATGGCTGACACCTTTTCCCACTGCAGGCCGTCGAGTCCACATCCAATCCTGGAAAACAAAGCACCAAAAAAGCCTCGTTGGGCCTTGTGCTGTGCCCAACCAGCTGCAGTTTGGGGTGGCCCTGCCACAGCTCCCCATAAACCCACAGAATGTGGGGAGAACAAGGAAACAAATGCACAGGGAAATGGAAATTAGATTTTCCCAGGTGAACAGAGGAGTTGGATAGAGGTGGATGCTTGAATTCTTGTTTCACAGCAGGGGATCATCCCTCAGACATCCTTCTAGAAATGAAACTCCCAACATTGGTATCAGCTGCTGAGCCCCTCACCTGGGCATGGAGATGTCGGTGACTCCGTTGTTCAGGCAGTGAGCTCTCATGGCTTCCAAACTCTTCTGCATGCTCTCATAGGTGGGCTTGTGAGAAACCTTCTGCTTTGTAATCTACAGAAAAATAGAAAAGCTCAGCTGTGCCTTGGGCATCACCCCTGCAAACCTCTGTCTGTTACAAATACAAAACAGATTCCCTGATATCCCAAAACTCCACACCCACACTTACTTCTGTGGAAAGACCTGAGCAAAGAACATTTCACAGCTTAAAACACTCTAATTCTGCAGCCAGTTCTGTGCAGGTAAAGGTGAAATGCAGATGCACACAACAGCTTGGCTGCTCCTCAGAGGCAGTGTTTGAGAACACATCTCTTATTACGAGGAACATTCCAGAACCTCCCTTCTAGTGCCCAAAGGGAGCCAACAAGACAGAGACTATTTATTTACAGGGCCTGGAGTGACAGGACAACAGGAATGGCTACACGTTGCCGGAGGGCTGGGTTAGATGGGATACTGGGAAGGAATTGTTCCCTGTGAGGGTGGTGAAGCCCTGGCACAGGATGAGACAGCCACAACAGAGGAGTTGTCCCTGCTCAGGATGAGCTTTAAGGTCCCTTCCCACCCCACCATTCTGTGATTCCCTGATTCCATGAACAGGACCAAAACCCCCCCTAGCTATTAATGTGACAGTTTAGCTCCAGGGAAGTGCCCCAGTGCCACCCCAGCCCTTACCAGGTAGTAAATGTAGCGGTCATCCCTCTGCAGAACCGCCACCTCCCCCGTCTTCTTCTCTAAAGCACAAAAACCAAGGTGTTTTTACAACAGCCACACTCCATAACCCCACACAGCTCCAACACCCTCCCTGCTGGAAATCAGGAGCTCCTTCAGGCACCACTCACTTTGATCCAGGAGCTCCTGGACGCCTCCAAACTTCTTCTTGAAGAGCACGGCGATGCCGGCGCCCATGCGGCAATCCTCGCTGATGCAGTGAGCCAGGGCGTCCGTGCTCGGGCACGAGAACAGGTCCCCCTTGACACACTTGATCTGCAGGGCAGGGCAACAACACCTCCTCAGAGGGCACACAGGGCTCTGGTGACCAGGGAATGGGCAGCAAGAGGGGCAGGCTTTTAGTTTGCTGTGTAAGTGTTTGAGCTGGCACGGGCTACAAACCCAAGGGAGGGAATTACAAACCCCACGTGTGGGATTACAAACTCCTTAGACAGAACTACAAACCAAATTCACAGCATTACCAGCCCAATCCAGAGAATAACAAACCCAATATAGAGAATTACAAACCAAATACAGAGAATTACAAAGCCACTACAGAGAATTGCAAACCCACTACAGAGAATTACACACCTCGTACACAGAATTACAAACCCACTACACCTCCTCAACGAGATCATTTATGAGCATCATGTGCCAGCTCAGCAGGTAATCTTACAAAATCAAAGCTTAAAAGGGTAATTATGTGACAGGGAGCACAGCTGGATTAGTGAAACCCCTCCAGCAGCACCGAGGTGCTCAGGCAGGCAGGTGAGCTCTGTGCTGCCGCACAGCACCTGCCCCACTGACATTACACACAAAAAGCACACGGATTTCAGCACTGGCAGCTCTCAGAAGCTGCAGGATGCAGCCAGTGCCGTGCTGTCAGGGCTGTAATGAGAGGAAAGCCTCTTTGCACAGACAATAATATCCCGTGTAACCCATTTCCTACGCACTCTCTCCTGATCCTTGGACAAGTGGGTGGCCATGGTAACGTGGGGTATGGAGAAGGCTCCTGCGGCTGGAAAGATGAGAGAAAAACAATTATTAGGAACCTCAAGCTAGGCAGTAAGAGTGTGTTAGAGGGGGCGAGACTAAGCCTAACTGATCTGTGACAGTGGGACGTCTACGAGAGATGCCGGTGCCCCTGGCCCGGTCCCCCTGCGCCTACAGCTCCGGCCCGGGAGGAGGCCCCAGCCCTGGGTCACCGCACAATGAGCACCCCCAGGCTGCCGCCCTCTTCCTCATCACCCTCATCACCATCCTCACCCTCCTCCTCCTTCCCCTCCCACCCCTCAGCGCCACTCGGCCGCCGCACCCGCGGGGCGCACAGCGATCAACCGTGCCGGGCCCACGGCCTGCGCCACCCCGAGCCTGCCCAGCGCCGCCCACATCGCTCCGGCCGAGCCGCAAGGGCGGCCCCGCCTCACGGCCACAGCGCCCCGCCTCAGCCGGCACGGCGGCTCCGCCTCAGGGGGACATTGCCGGTACCGCCTCAGCCTCAGCGGCTCCGCCTCGCGGCGAAATGGCGGATCCGCCTCGCCGGGGAGTTGGCGGATCCTTCTCAGCCCACGCGGCGGTATCGCCGCACACAACACGGCGGTGTGGCGGCACACAACACGGCGATATCGCCTCACACAACACGGCGGTATCGCCTCACACAACATGGCAGCCCCGCCCCACACAACATGGCGGCGGCGCGCGCGCGCGGACCCGCTCCATGGTCCCAGCCCAGAACATTCCGGGCAGGGGGCGGAGCTTAGGGATGGGCGTGGCCCTCCCCGCGCGCGCGCGCGCCACGGCCCCCGCGCAGGCGCAGCGGCGGCGGGCCGGGCGAGGCGCGCGGTTGGGCGGCCGCGGCCGGGCGGGGCCCCGCCCCTCGCCCCCTTTGTCCGCGGTTGGGCGCCATTTTGCGCGGCGGGCGAGTGCGGGCGCTGATTGGGCTTCGGGGCCCCGCGGCGGAGCCAATCAGCGCGGGGCGCGGACCGGGCAGCGCGGCACGGTGAGCGCGAGCGGCCAATATGGAGCCCCCGCGCGCCGGGATTGGCGGGGCCGCGGCCACTCAGGGGCTGAGGGGGGAACCGGGGCCGGGCTCGGTGCGGCCGCGCCGGGGCCGCGGGGCGAGCGGGGCCGCGAGCAGCGGGGTCGGGTACTCCGCGGCCGGGCGGGGGGCGCGGGGCCCGGCGCCGCAGCGGGGCCCGGCCTGTTCCCCCGGCGCGCTCCGCCCCGGGAGCCTCCCCCGTCCGGTGCCGGTGTGCGCCGTGCTGCTGCCCTGATGTGTCCGGCGGCAGGGCCGGGGGCTCGAGCACACCGGGAGAGCCCCGGGCCGGGGCTTCCCGCAGTGCCACAACAGCCCCGGCTCATCCCTGGCTTTCACAGCCCGGGCTCCACATGTCGTGCTCCGCCCGCCCCCGTGTTAAATCCCAAATCCCGCTCCGGTGTGGGCGTGCGGTGTCCCTGGAGCGGTGGATCCCGCGGAACGGAGCTCGGGGACACGGCTCGAGCCATGCTCCGGAGCTCTCGGGCTGTTCGTGGCACTGGTTCGCTCTTGGTGTGGGTTGGTTGTTGAGGAAACTGCTCCTGGTGCAGCTGGATTTATATAAATATAAGTTATGTGTTATATATGTATATGTGTAAATATTTGAATGTAATTTTGGAGCTATCCTGTGTAGGGGCAGGAGTTTAAGGATCCTAATGAGTCCCATACAACTCAGTACATATATATATATATATATACACATACATATATATTCATACGTATATGTATATATATTAGTTATGTAAAATATATATACTTATATAATGTCCATAAATATGTCTTTATATAATATATATTTTTATATATTTATGTATAATTATTTTTATATATTTTATGCATAATTATATATATATATCTGCTGCTGGGACTGCAACACTCTCTGGTTCCCAGAGCATTCCCGGTGAGCTGGAGCTGCCCATGAGCTCACTGGGGGAGGAGCTGCCATCCCTCCTCTGCCATTGATTGATCCCTGATCATTAATATTTAACTTGGCTGCTCTGTGTTTAATGAATGGGATGAGATAATCCCTTGGATGGTGAGGATCCAAAACCTTGTCCAGAACTTCAGGCAGCTGCTGCAGAGTGTTGGGATTACAGAGCTGTTAATGTTTTAATTAAAAAAAATTAATTTAGGGCAGGAATGAAGAATGCAGTGTGAAATTGAAATGGGAACCTGACAGCAGCATTTTCAGAAAGAATATTTATCTTTTACTCTGGCTGTGAAAAAGTCTCAGGAAATGGGCAAAGGATGGGACTCAAACAGCAGCAGTAACCACAGCAACGGGTACAGAGAGTCTGTGACTTAATCCTGTCAGCATTCCTTGAAAAATGGAGGGGGCCAGAGGTTTTGTTGCTTTAGCCTTGGAAAATTCAAGTTCCTGGCTGTGGTTTCATTCAGCAGTGTAGCAGGAACTTGTTCAGTCGTGGCATAAATCAAACACCTCACTAAGGCAGGAATTCTGCTGCTGTTGGGCCAGTGAGGAGGGAAGCAGTGGCAGGGAAAAGATGTTTTCTTTCAGCACAGATGTGTGCAGGGAAGGGGCCAAGGAATGAGGGGCAGTGAGAGGATGGAGCTGCTGGGAAATCTGCTTCCCAAAATCCATGAAGGCTGTATTTGAGTATAGAAATCTTTGTTTAGAGAAGAAATTCCTCCCTATGAAGGTGAGGATTGGGAGCTGTGGCTGCCCCTGGATCCCTGGAAATGTCCAAGGCCAGGGGTGACACTGGATGGTCCTTAATGTCCCTTCCCACCCAAACCATCCCATGAGAGCAGGAGAGGGAAGAAAAACAAGGAGAGAAACTTTCACACCTTAAGGTTCAACTTCACACCTGGAGGTTTTGCATTTCCTGAGCTTTCCCAGCAGTGCCACTCCCCGTGTGGGCACCAGGCTGTGCAGACTCACAGAATTGGTGGAGTCCATGAAATCTGGGCCAGAATTGAGGTGGTTTTGCTGCTCCCTCAGGTTGGATGGGCCTGAAGGGTTTCCTCTGTTTATTGCTGAGGTGGAGCAGCAAAAAATCCCTGGGGCAGCTCCTGGTTTGCTTGGCTTGGCAGCTGCTGGGGACAGCAGGGGTTGCCAGGCCTGGGGACAGCAGGGATTGCCAGGCCTGGGGACAGCAGGGATTGCCAGGCTGGGGACAGCGGGGGTTGCCAGGCCTGGGGACAGCAGGGATTGCCAGGCTGGGGACAGCGGGGATTGCCAGGCTGGGGACAGCGGGGGTTGCCAGGCTGGGGACAGCGGGGATTGCCAGGCCTGGGGACAGCGGGGATTGCCAAACCTGGGGACAGCGGGGATTGCCAGGCCTGGGGACAGCGGGGATTGCCAAACCTGGGGACAGCAGGGATTGCCAAACCTGGGGACAGCAGGGGTTGCCAGGCCTGGGGACAGCAGGGATTGCCAGGCCTGGGGACAGCAGATCACCTGATTTTTGTTTTCCCTGCAGGGCTGAGGCACCATGGAGCAGTACACAGCCAACAGCAGCAGCTCCACGGAGCAGATCGTGGTGCAGGCAGGGCAGATCCAGCAGCAGGTATGGAATGGGGGAATCCTGTGCACCCCTCAGAGGGAACAGTTGGGATAAACCCCAAAGATTTCCTGTAATTCCAAGGAAATGAGGGATCTGAGCTCTTCCCTGAGGGGAGGTGGTGCCAGAGCCTGAGCTTGGACAGTGGAACCTTCTCAGCTGGGACTGAAAGGGCACCTGGGGACAGCAATGGCCTCTGTAGCACTGAGAGATCCAATTTCTTATTTACCTGTGAGTAACCCAGGAGCCATGTGGATCCAAACAGCAAATACATCCCAGCTTGGAAGGAACTTGGTTTCAGCAGCACAATCCTGATCCTCCTGGGTACCTGCTCACCTGACTTCTGTCACTGATGGCACCTGCCTGGAAGTCAGAGTAAATGTGGTTTTAAAAATTAAATATTAAAAGTAAATATATATATATTTAAAATTAAATAAAAATTATAAAATCTTACTTAAATACAAACATTTAAATAAAATTAAAATGAAAATGCAGGTGTACAAGTGACCAAATTTCAGTGTAGCAGGAAGTTTGCAAAATGGTGGTGACATGGGGAAAGTAAAATATAAAAATATATTAACACATCTCTGAAAATGGAGGAAACAGAATATTAACAGGAACAATCAGTTGTCCACAAGAAAAAAATCCCCCAATGTTGAAATAGGTTTTGTTCAAGCCCACAGAGGTTTCCTCCAGCTTTGCCAAATGAACATTTATAGAGATTCTTTGTTTCAGAACAACAGGTGGAGCAAAGCAAACACAGAACAGGAATTCAACCAACCAAGGAGCTTTGGATGAACTCATCCATCCCACAAAGAAATTCACATTTCAGTGTGGAAACACCAGGGCTGAGTTTAGAGGGTTTGCTGATTTTGGCTGCTCAGCTTTCCATATCCAGATGTGGGGATGTTTTTCCAGCTGCTGCTGAATTTTTCTTGCACCTTCTGCTCTAGTTTGGGGAGGTTTGGTGGTTTGCCATGCAAAGGGCAGAGCCACTGGATGATGTTTTCAGGGAGCTGTGCTTTGCTTTGGCCTCAGGAGGGACCAAATCCTTCCCCTGGGTTTAGCTGGAGTTGATTTTTCCAGCCAGAACAAGATTGCACTCGAGATTAAAACATTTTATATTAAGGATTATCTGAAATACCTGTTTGCAGCAGATAACCAAAGATGTAGTTGGTTTATTGACATTTTCCAGGTGAAAAGGAGATAAACACAACTCTTGGCTTTCACTTTCAGTGCAACTTCTTAAAGCCTGTGTCTGATGTGGAACATTTTGCTAAAATGAGATGTTTTACCAGGCTGTTACAGCACTTGGGAGTGAGCTGTCCTTCATCTCCCCATGCTAACACAGTTGCTGGGAGTATTTTGGGACTCTTAGCAAAGAGGCTAAAGATAGAAAAGGCTTTTAGCTCCTGCAGCCTCTCCAGACTGTCCCTCAGGGTCACTACTGGGACAGTCACTGACACAGGGGTGGCAGAGATGAGCTCAGGAAGGGCTTTGTTGGGAAAAACAAGTGTGCCCAAAATCTGGAACCCTTCACTGTGCCAAAACCTGGGCAGTGAGCAGACTGAAACCCTGAAGCTGAGCTTGAAATCCTGCAAAATCACCTGCCCTATTCCCTGTTATTGTAATATTGAAGCCTGAAACTTCAAAATTAAACCCCTGAAACTGAGCTTGAAATCCTGCAAAATCACCTGTCTTGGTCCTTGTGAGTTGGAATATTGAAGACTGAAACTTGAAAACTGAAACCCTGACACTGAGTTTGAAATCCTGCAAAATCACCTGCCCAAAATCACCTATTCCTGTGAGTTGGAATATTGAAGCCTGAAGCTTCAAAACTAAACCCCTGAAACTGAGCTTGAAATTCTGTAAAATGACCCATGCTGTTCCCTGTTATTGGAATATTGAAGCCTGAAACTCCATAATTAAACCCCTGAAACTGAGCTTGAAATCCTGCAAAATCACCTGTCTTGGTCCCTGTGAGTTGGAATATTGAACCTGAAGTTTCAAAACTAAACTCCTGAAACTGAGCTTGAAATCCTGCAAAATGCCCTGCCCTGTTCCCTGTTATTGGAATACTGAAACGTGAAACTTCAAAACTAAACCCCTGAAACTGAGCTTGAAATTCTGTAAAATGACCCATCCTGTTCCTGGTCAGTTGGAATATTGAAGCCTGAAACTCCATAATTAAACCCCTGAAACTGAGCTTGAAATCCTGCAAAATGCCCTGCCCTGTTCCCTGTGAGTTGGAATATTGAACCTGGCAGTGCAGTTCCAGGGAACTCCATCCTGAGTTTTGCTGAAACTCCCGTTCCTGGTGTTCCTGGAGCAGTGTGTGTGATCCCCACCCCCTGTGCCATCAGTGTGTTGTGCGTTTCCGTGTTTCAAGCTCTCCCTGTTCCTGTTCCCAGCAGCAGGGAGGTGTCACAGCTGTCCAGCTGCAGACTGAGGCCCAGGTGGCATCGGCCTCAGGCCAGCAAGTCCAGACCCTCCAGGTAGTGGTGACCTCTCTGATTGTGTTTCTGAGCACTGCATGCCCCTCCCCAGCAGCACATATCTAATGCTGTGTTTTCCCAGGGCTTCCAGGAGGAGCAGGGGGATGGATGTGGAGCAGGAATTTCTGCTGGGTGCTGCCTCTGGGCTTGGCATTGGAGCTGTTCCCATTGGTGCATGGCGGGAATAAAGTTCAGGGAGATTTTAAAGTTCTGAACAGCAAAATGAGGAAGGAGCAGTTGGGATAAAACCCAGAGATTTCCTGTAATTGCAAGGAAATGAAGGTTCTGAGCTCTTCCCTGAGCAGGGCTCTGCCTTCACCACACAGAGGTGGTGCCAGAGCTGAGCTTGGACAGTGGAACCTTCTCAGGTGGGACTCAAAGGGCACCTGGGGACAGCATTGGTCTCTGTGGCACTGGGAGATCCAATTTCTTATTTACCTGTGAATAATCCAGGAGCCATACAGCAAATACATCCCAGCTTGGAAAGAAATTGCTTTCAGTGTGAAGTGTTTCCTGTCTTCCTTAACTCACCCAGGCTTTGCAGGAGCCCTTTGTAGAGCAGTTGACAGACCCTGGGCAGCTGTGGCAGTTTTGCACTCAGGATTTTGGTTTGGTTTGGTTTGTAATTCTTCAGAGAAGGGTGATTCCAAGGGGCTGGGATGGCCCTGCCAGCTGCAGAATCAACACAGCATTTTTTATGTTCAGAGTCCAACTCTCAGATGCTGCCTCACTTGGGTTGCTGGGCTCACTGGGACCTCTGGTTGTTGTTATGTTCTTCCCACCTTTTTTTTTTTTTTTTTTTCCTAGTTTGCCTTGCTGTGATTCATTAACAAAAATCCTGGAATGCCTCTTGTTTTCCTTTCTGCTTCTTGGACGTTGTGCTGCTGCCTGTGCTTCTCTGTGCTGACCTGAGCATGCTCCTCCCTGTGTGACCCAGCCCAGGGGCTGAGGGCTTTGGATGGGACATGGACAGGCTGAGGGACAGAGTGGGGACCTGCAAACTCCAATTCCCAGGGCAGGATTTGGCTCCTCACCCTCTGGGGTGTGAAACTTTGGTGGCTTTACCACATTGTGATGTTCTTGTTCCTAAACAAATCAGATTTTGTTCTGATTTCATGAGACTCATTTTGCATTTAGGCTGTGGAGGTAGAGTATTTTCCAAGATGTGTGTGGGGAATTTGGGGGCTTGGCAGGTGAGAGGGTTCAAACAGAGAGGTTTTCCCCATATTTTTGTTTTCATGGGCCTTTTTCCCAGTGGCCAGAGAGACACCAGGTCCAAGAGTCCAGAGATTCTCAGGCCAAAGTTACCTCAGAATCCCAGAGTGGTTTGGGTGGGAAGGAACCTTAAAGCTCACCCAGTTCCCACCCCAACACCTTCCCCTATCCCAGAGTGCTCCATCCCTGTCCAGCCTGGCCTTGGATATTTATATATTTATATTTATATTTATATTTATATTTATATTTATCCAATCTAAACCTTTTTAGGCCCAGAAGTGGCTGCTGCCCATCCACTTTGATTTTTCCTCCCTGAACTCCATTTTCTGTTGCTCCAGTTACAATTTCCCTCAATAACCATGGAGAGTTTCTTCTCCAGCACATCCCATGCTCCATCCATGTCAGTTTGGAAATGAGAATGTTGTAGGCATAAAATTGAAGAGAGCCACCTCAGAACCTCCCTGTCAGAACAGAGTTCTCTCAGTAGGAACCTCAACTAGAAAACCTAACAAATCTCAATAGGAACCTCAACTAAGAATCAGTAATTGTGAGGTGAATAATGAAGTTTTTTATCCCACTTTGCTCTCGGGCTGTGCATGAAAAATGTGGCTGGAAAATGGGATTTTCATGCTTTGTAACCACTAGACTGCAGGACAAGCAGATAACTCACTAAACCCTTAGCACTGGAAGCCAGGGCTGGTTTGAAGCAGCTCAGTGCCCACTCCCCACAGACAGGGTGGGCAGGGCTGGGCTCTGGGGCTGCTTTGGTGGGTTTTTCATTGTTGTTTTGTTGTTGCAGGTGCAGGGGCAGCCTCTGATGGTGCAGGTGAGCGGGGGGCAGCTCATCACCTCCACGGGCCAGCCCATCATGGTGCAGGCCGTGCCCGGGGGCCAGGGCCAGACCATCATGCAGGTGCCCGTGTCTGGCACACAGGGGCTGCAGCAGGTGAGACACCTGGGGACACTGCACAGCTCTGGGGTGCTGCCACTGCCACACAGGGCTCTGCTCAGCACCCCAAACCCAGCCTGAGCTGGTGCTGGGCGGCTCTGGGACAGTGGCAATGAGTAAAAGTCCTTTATGAGCTGGTTTTTTATGGCCTGGTGCAAAGATTTTGGTGCTGAAACACAGCTGGGTTTGTTTGGCGTTTTTCATCATGGAATGATTTGGGTTTGATGAGATCTTAAAGTTCATCCAGTTGCACCTTCCTGGCATAGGCAGGGATACTTTCCTGTGGGGATAGGGGTACCTGTGATAAGGATTGCTGTGATGTGGGATACTTTCCCACAGAGCAGGATTTTTGTTTGTTGAGCAAAACAGGCTGAGGTGGTGCTGGGTGGCTCTGGGACACTGGGAATGAGTAAAAGTTCTTTATGAGCTGGTTTTTTATGGCCTGGAGCAAAGATTTTAGTGCTGAAACACAGCTGGGTTGGTTTGGGGTTTTTCATCATGGAATGATTTGGGTTGGATGAGATCTTGAAGCTCATCCAGTTGCACCTTCCTGGCATAGGCAGGGACACCTTCCTGTGGGGATAGGGGTACCTGTGATAAGGATACCTGTGATGGTGGGATACCTTCCCACAGAGCAGGATTTTTGTTTGTTGAGCAAAAGCAGGCTGAGGTGGTGCTGGGTGGCTCTGGGACAGTGGCAATGAGTAAAAGTCCTTTATGAGCTGGTTTTTAATGGCCTGGTGCAAAGATTTGAGTGCTCAAACACAGGGTTTGAGGGTTTGTTTGGGGCTTTTCATCATGGAATGGATTGAGTTGGATGAGATCTTAAAGTTCATCCAGTTGCACCTTCCTGGCATAGGCAGGGACACCTTCCCGTGGGGATAGGGGTACCTGTGATAAGGATACCTGTGATAAGGATATCTATCCTGTAGGATACCTTCCCACAGAGCAGGATTTTTGTTTATTGAGCAAAAGCAGCCTGAGCTGGTGCTTGGTAGCTCTGTGACAGTGGGAATGAGTAAAAGTCCTTTATGAACTGAATTTTTATGATTTATGGCCTGGTGCAAAGATTTTAGTGCTAAAACACAGCTGGATTGGTTTGGGGTTTTTCATCATGGGATGATTTGGGTTGGATGAGACATTAAAGCTCATCCAGTTGCACCTCCCTGGCATAGGCAGGGATACTTTCCTATGGGAATAGGGATATCTGTCATGTGGGATACCTTCCCACAGAGCAGGATTTTTGTCTCTTGGGATATTTTATCTGGCCCTTGCAATGTAGTTGGGAATCTGGTGCCTGTTCAATTTATGGCTTAGAAAGAGGATTTTTAAAAAAAAAAAAAGTATTTAAGAAAGCTTCTTGCAGGTAATTTGTGCTTGAGCCCCTCTAATGTGTGATGGCTGAAGGGGGATTTAAACCTCCCTGTTGCACAGAAGGCAATAGTGAAGGAGGCACAGAAAATGGAATTTTTTGGAAGTAATTACCTGTTTAAAAGACAGTTGGTGAATTTAAGGAGGTGGTTGAAGTGTTGCTGAAAAGCAAAGAGAAGAACTGTGACCATGGCATAATGAAAGTGCCCTGATGATTTAGGATGGGATTTAGGAACTCAGCACAGTCCAGGAAGGCAAATGATGTCTTGGTGTTTTGAGAGGTTTATTTAACATTTCCTTTGTTGCAAACCACTGTAATTTGTATGAGGTTTTCTCAGTCTGGTTGGTGGAGGAAAATCCATAACTGTGTTTTTAAACCCAAACTTCAAACCATATTCCAGCTCTTCTTTTTTAATCTAAGAACGTTCCACAGTGGTGGAAAGACTCTGCAAAGCTGAGGACAACTTTATAAATCCCAGAAATACTTCTGAGTGCTGGATAATGAGCACCCCTCAGATGTCTTAAATCTTAGTCCTCCTCTTCCACCTGCCTGTTTGTTCCCAGTGGATGTGAATAATTGATTTCTCCTGGGTGATTTATTGTGCAAGCAGTGCAGAGCTGCTGGAGCACAGTGACACAGCACTCTGCTCCCTCTGCCCTGTGTGGCAATCCATTCAAACTCCTCATTCTCAACTGCAAAAAGAGAAGACTCCCTGCTTCCTTTTTCTGTGCAACAGCAAATCACCCTCAGGGATGACTTGGTCATGCTGAGGCTGAGGAGGGAGAAATCAGAGGCATAGTTAATGTTCCTTTCTGACTCTTTCTTCCACAGATTCAGTTGGTCCAGCCAGGTCAGATTCAGATTCAAGGTGGGCAGGCTGTGCAGGTACAGGGGCAGCAGGGCCAGACCCAGCAGATCATTATACAGCAGCCCCAGACTGCAGTTACTGCTGGCCAGACACAGGTAACTGCACCAGCATGAAAGGCTTTTCTGCAGAGGAACAGGAAGAGAAACTTTTAAAGATGTGGTTAAGTAAAAAAAAAAAAAAAAATTTAAAAAAAGGAATTATTAATATTGAGGAGAACTTGAGAATAAGTGTCATGTTTCTGTAGTGTTTCATACATGACTCTGGGGCAGAAAAATCAGATTGCATGTTTTTCTCCATCGTGTTTCTGTATTTTATTGGTTCGTGGTCATTTTTGTCTCTCTGTTGAATTTTGAAAACATGAAGCATTGCTAATTCCATACTTGGGCCATTGTGTGCAGTAGTCCAGTCACACCTGGGGTTTCTGCTGATGCTTTTGGTTAGGATCAAAATTAAATTTTGGAGCAGAACAGTTCTTCCTTTCACATCTTCATAGTGAGTCAGGAAACTTAGAATTTGGGGTTTTTTTTCATTATGGAACTGTTGGAAAATGCATCTTACATGTGCTTCAGGTGTTTGATCTCCAGGTGTTTGCTCTGTGCTCCAGCCTGTTTCTTACTGCTGCTAATGAGGCAGCAGAAATAGACACCTGGAACACCTCAAGCACCATGTGTTCATTCAGGAATTGTAAACACTGGGAAAAAGAGGCAATTTGTGACGTTTTTGTGCTCTTTGTTTTGTTCAGACCCAGCAGCAGATTGCAGTGCAAGGCCAGCAGGTTGCCCAGGCTGCTGAGGGCCAGACCATCGTGTACCAGCCTGTGAATGCTGATGGCACCATCCTGCAGCAAGGTAGGAGGGCTGGGAGGAGCCAGGGCACCTCCTGGAGAGGCTTTTTATTTATTGAGGTGTTTGTGTGCTCTGCAGGAATTCACTCCAGAAATAGAAAATCTCCTTGTCTCTGGCAAGGCCTGGTAGAATAAAACCCCTGAATTTTGCTTTTCCACCTCAAGAGTACGTGGTTACTCACAGTGAGGTTACAAATGCAAAAACCTAATGGAATTCTGATGGAATTTAATCCCTCACTGTAGCACTTTCCTGACTCTCTGCATGATTTGGAAGGATGAATGAGTAAAACACAGAAGTGGGACTAATGCTGTTCCCTTCTTTTTGTGTGCGTGTTTCTGTTTCTTTTCTCTTTCTCTCTCTCTTTTTTTTTTTTTGTCTTGCTTTTTCTTTTTTTTCTTTTTTCCTTTCCTTTTGTTTTCTACTTCCTTAAAGTTACAGTCCCTGTTACAGGCATGATCACCATTCCTGCAGCCAGCCTGGCTGGAGCCCAGATTGTCCAGACAGGAGCCAACACCAACACCACCAGCAGTGGTCAGGGGACGGTGACAGTGACACTGCCAGTGGCTGGCAACGTGGTCAATTCAGGGGGAATGGTCATGGTAGGTGTGAAATCCCCACTGCTGCCTCTGCAGGCTGAGCTTGGAGGTGTTTTGTACTCAAATCTTTTCACAAGGGTAGGGATGGGATGGTGGGAATGCCTTGAAGTGGAAGGAGGGCAGGGGTGGGTGGGATGTTGGGGAGGAATTGCTCCCTGCAGGGTGGGGAGGCCCTGAGGACCCCAGAGGAGCTGTGGCTGCTCCATCCCTGCCTGGAGCACCCTGGGAGAGTGAAAAGTGTCCCTGAAGGTTGGGATTGGGGGATCCTAAAGATCCCCTCCACCCCAAAGCATCCTGGATTCCCTGGTTCTCTGATAAACTCTTGTGTGAGATTGTGAGATACCATGGTCAGTTCTCTCTCTAAGTTCCATTAGTTTAAAGTTTAAACAACACAAATTTTCAGCTCCAAAGGACTGGATCCTGCTGTGATCCAGGATCAGCAGCTCAGAAATGTGGAAACTAAAATCCAAACTGAGCTGTGAGCTGATGAGCAAAGGTTTAAATATATTTTTTCACTTCTGATTTTCTTGAGGATCCCTTAGGATTTGTTTCCATCATTTATAGAGATTTTTCCTGCCAGTTCCTGTTGCTTTGTAGTGTGAACCTGTTGAATATTGCTGGTCCCCACTAGATGTCAGCAGCTCTGCAGTGATGCTCTGAAATGAAATCATTGAAATAAAAGATAACCCAAAAGAAAGGGGAGCACCAGCCATGTCCTGTTTGTTTAATTGTCCAAGGAGCAGCAACACAAGGAATTGTGTTGAAATGTGACCTTTATTGTCACAGACACTTTTTATGAAAAATCCTTTTGCTAGGATTATTTCTCTTAAGAAGCTGAGAGAGGCCTCAGGAACAAAATGTAAACAATGGTTATCTGCTGCTGTGGGATGCAACAGGTGCATCTGGGATTGGTCTCATGTGGTTGTTTCTAATTAATGGCCAATCACAGTCAGCTGGCTCAGACTCTGGTCAGTCACAAGATTTTATTATCATTCCATTCCTTTCAAGCCTTCTGATTAAATCCTTTCTTCTATTCTTTTTGTATAGTTTTAATATAATATACAATATAATATAATATAATATAATATAATATAATATAATATAATATAATATAATATAATATAATATAATATAATAATAAACCATCCTTCTGAAACATGGAGTCAGGACTCTCATCTCTTCCCTCATCCTGGGAGCCCTGTGAACATCACCACACTTTATCAGGAAAAGCCAGCAGGACTGATGAGGAATTGTTGGTTTGGGTTGGTTTTGCATAGGTTTGGATTGGTTTTGCAGAGGTTTGGGTTGGTTTTGCATAGGTTTGGATTGGTTTTGCATAGGTTTGGATTGGTTTTGCATAGGTTTGGGTTGGTTTTACAGAGGTTTGGGTTGGTTTTGCATAGGTTTAGATTGGTTTTAGATGTGTTTGCAGTTTGAGAGCAGCTTCATTGCTCCTTTTCATTTAAGCAGCTGCATTACCCGAGCAACACCCACTTTCTGTTTCAATATTGAGCTTTTGAATGCCATTTTTTGTTGAGTTTGGGTGCTGAGCTGCAAGCACTAAACCCCCTGTGTGTACAGATGGTGCCTGGGGCTGGCTCAGTCCCAGCCATCCAGAGGATCCCCCTGCCTGGAGCAGAGATGCTGGAAGAGGAGCCCCTGTACGTCAATGCCAAGCAGTACCACCGCATCCTGAAGAGGAGGCAGGCACGGGCCAAGCTGGAAGCAGAGGGAAAAATCCCCAAAGAGAGAAGGGTGAGGATAAAACTCAGATTTAACACAAAATTGCTCTGTGGCAAAGGCACAGAATCCCAGCTGGGCTGGAAAATGAGGGTTGGAATCTTGGTGTTCCTCTGTTTTACAGTGGTTTGGTTGTTGATGAGCTGCATCAGAGTAAATTTTTTAAGTACTTTGCTTATTTTGGGGTTTGGGAGTGTTTGGAGCTGTGTGTGAGCAGGTACTGATTGTCAGCACAGTGTCTGTGGGGCAGGGGGTGGATGGGGACTGGGAATTTCCTCTGGAGAGGCAGGGACTGGGAATTTCTTCTGGGAAAGCAGCAACTGGGAGTTTGTGGGGCAGGGGATGGATGGGCACTGGGAATTTATTCTGGGGAGGCAGTGACTGGGAATTTCTTCTGGGAATCTATGGGGCAGGGGATAGACGGGGAGTGGGAATTTCCTCTAGGAAAGCAGTGACTGGGATTTGCCTTGTGGAGGCAGTGACTGGGAGTTTGTGGGGCAGAGGATGGATGGATGGGTGGATGGATGGATGGATGGATGGATGGATGGATGGGGATTGGGAATTTCCCCTAGGAAAGCAGTGACTGGAAATTTCTTCTGGGAAGGCAGGGACTGGGAGTCTTGTAGGGCAGGGGATGGATGGGGACTGGAATTTCCCCTGGAAAAGCAGTGACTGGGAATTTCTTCTAAGAAGGCAATGACTGGGAATCTATAGAAGATGGATGGGGACTGGGAATTTGTTCTGTGAAGGCAGGGACTGGGAATATGTAGGGCAGAGGATGGATGGATGGATGGATGGATGGATGGATGGATGGGGATTGGGAATTTCCCCTGGGAAAGCAGTGACTGGGAATTTCTTCTGGGGAAAGCAGTGACTGGGAATCTGTAGGGCGGAGAATGGATGGGGAGTGAGAATTTCCCCTGGGGAGGCAGAGACTGGGAATTTCTTCTAGGAAGGCAGGGACTGGGAATCTGTGGGATAGGGAATGGATGGGGACTGGAATTTCCCATAGGAAAGCAGGGACTGGGAATCTGTGGGGCAGAGGATGGATGGATGGATGGATGGATGGATGGATGGATGGATGGATGGATGGATGGAGACTGGGAATTTCCTCTGGGAAAGCAGAGACTGGGAATATGTAAGGCGGAGGACAGATGTGGACTGGGAATTTCCCCTGGAAAACCGATGACTGGGAATTTCCTCTGGGAAGGCAGTGACTGGGAGGGTTGTGGGGCAGAGGATGGATGGATGGGGAGTGGAATTTCCCCTGGGAAAGCAGGGATGGGAGGAGTGGCTCTCCCTGAGCTGCTCTCCCTCCCTCCCTGCAGAAATACCTGCACGAGTCGCGGCACCGGCACGCCATGGCCAGGAAACGGGGAGAGGGCGGGCGCTTCTTCTCCCCCAAGGAAAAGGACAGCCCTCACATGCAGGTGAGTGGGGTTTGGGGCAAATCCCCTTTTCAACCCTTCAGGACACACAGCAGAGGTGTCTGTGCTGCTTTGTTTGGGGTTTTGGGCTTTGCTGCTTGTCCCTCCCTCCCTCTGAATTTTTTGTCTGCTGCCCCTGGGCCCTCCCTGCCTTTAGATTTATTCCAAGCATAAAATAAATAAAACCTGGGAATAAACCCTCCTGTCACTGCTTGTGGAGAGCAAGGGATGTTTGCCCTGAGGAATTAAATGACAATAATGTGGATAGAAGTGTGTTCACATTGTGTGTTTGTAAAACAGCCTTTCTGCCTGGGGACTGGGCTGTTCTTTCAGGACATCAATTAAAGGTAGAGACTCCTTATCTTTGCATCTGATGGAAAATTTAAAAATGGGAATATCTGATTCTTAGCTGCATCTTGATTTGCATAAAAGGTGCAAGGCATTTTTCAAGGGAAGGGACATAATGGAGTAGAATGAACAGGTTCTGTGGTTGCTCAGTGCTTTAGAGCAGTCCTGTGCCTTAGGGAGTGTTTCTTATTTTCAACTAAAATCATTCCTAAATACTGATCCTAAATACCAGAAACAACAAATTCCTGGAAAGTATTTAGGATTTTTGTGGCCTGTAAAACCCAGGAAAACCAGGACAGTTTTGGGGCTCAAGGGAAGTGCAGGAGTGTGTTCTCCTGATGGTTGTGTGTGGTTCTCTCTGCTTCATGGAAAAATGTGAAATTTCCACCCTTTTGTGTCTGCAGGATCCATCTCAAAGCAACGAAGAAGCAATGACACAGATGATCAGGGTCTCCTAACCCCTGCTTCCAGGGAAAAACACCTGAAGGGAATTCCCATCCCTCCTGCCAGCCTGCCCTGCCTGCCCAGAGTGACCCCTGGAGTGGGACAATCTCCGTGCCACAGCCTGTCCTTTTCCACACAGCAAGCACCACGTGTTGAGGACGTGCTTGAGGTTCCAACTCTCCCACCAGAACCTTTCAGACCTCCTTGGTGCCCTCTCCTGATCCAGCACAGGGAATTCAGAGTCCCAGTGCTCATCTCTGGTTTTTCCTCATTTTCCCACCTCAGTCCCCGTGGCTGGTGCAGCTCAGCCCTGTCCAGGGACAGATCCCAGCTCCTCCAGCAGCACTGAGCAGGGCTGGGCTTGAGATTTCTTATTCCATCCACTCCTCACCCCTCTGGACTGGGTTTTCCCTGAGCTGGGCATTGCTGTTGCACTTCTGGCCCTGGCAGAAACTGAAGGGGATTCTTTTCAATTCCACCCTGTAAATGTGTAAAGAAGCTCTTCTCTGGGAAAGGTTCAGCCATCCAATCAATGCTAGAAATAGTCGAGATTCCTGCAGGACTTGATGTGTTGTGTCTCTGTTGCAAGTGGGGTGGGAGAGGGAGATGTGGGGGGGATCGGGGCAGTGAATCAGCCTCTGGCTGGGTTTGGATGTTCATTGCCAGTCCTTTTGCTTTGGAAGAAAACTGGATGTGAGTATAGAAAGGATTGAAACTTTTCAGTGACTTTCTTCCAAAGGATTTATTTTTTTTTTTTTAATTTTTATTTTTCTCACCTGCCAGTGAAATCCATGGTTCCTCCAAGAGATGTGGAGCCCTCGGTGTCACAGAGGTGGCACTTGGCCATGGCTGGGATGGAGTTTCTGGTGCCTAAATCATTTCTACAATTCCAAGGGATGATTCAGGACAGCAGCAGCTGGGGCAGCTCAGCCTGAGCTCCCTGAAGGACTCAGCAGATACTGAACCTTTCATGCTTTTTATCAATTAAGCTCTTAAAAACCAAACAGAAGTGGCACTTAGCAAAGGAGCAATACTTACATTATTAAAAAATAGGATTTTCCCATGACCTACAGCTGGCTTTGTCTGAGCATCTCCACAGAACAGAGTTTTAATTTTGATTCTAAGCCTGCTCTATTATAATTTGAATTTTGGTGATGGGAGCAGTAGTTACAAGCATTTAACAGGTGATTTCTCACCATTGCACTGCTCACCTTGATGAGTTACACAGCTGCTCTGCTGGAGTCCCGGAATTTCCAGGTTTTTGTGTCCTGTAGCTCAAACTGGATCACAGCAGTGAAATTTGGGGTTGGGAATGTGCTGGGTGAATGTGAACCTGGCCAGGTGCAGCTGAAGAGTGAGGAAAAGCTGCCAAGGACGGCTGAGACTGTGTCAAATCCAGGGAATGCTGAATTGAAGTGACAAGGGAAAAGATGAAAGGAAATATCATTTCCAATCTACTGGAAGCTCATGGCTAAAGACAAAGTGGAGGACAAATCAGGAGGATACAAAAGAGCAGAGGCTGGAAAATGCCATTTCCTTTGGATGAAATGAAAATCCTAAACCTGAGGGAGGAGGAGGAAAGTTGGATCCTTGTTGTGAGCAGGCAGTGCTGGGGAGGAGGGAGCCTGTTCGGGTGGAAGGACAGGAGGAGCTGCTGAGGGGTTTGGGATTGGATCTCCAAAAGCAGCTCAGCTCCTTGCTGTGATCCTGCTTCTGTAAGGACACCCAGGGACCCTGCAGCTGCCCTGGCTCCTGGCAGGCAAATAAATCTCCTTCCTTTCAGTTTTCGTCCCAAGTCAGATGAGCAATCTGACACCCTGCTCACAGCTCTTAATTAGGATTTATTTCTAATCATTCCAAGGGCGTTTTTAACCTGGATGGCATCCTCAGGGCCTCTGCTTGCCTCTGCCTTAAATCCTTGTCCAGTTCCAGCTCTGGTTTTGCTCAGCTGGCACCTGAAGCTCACCCAGCACTTCCTGGGCTCTCCCCATTCCAGGAATGTGCAGCTCTCCTTAAGGGATTTTAGTTGAATTTGCAGCATTACTGTAAATATTTTTTTTGAGCATCTGTACATTTTGTTGGTGGAATATTTGCTGGAGTAAAACCCTCTCCTTGATACTTTTTGCTCTTCAGTTGATGCTAAATCTGTCCTGAAACATCTTCATGAGAGCTGGAAGTTCAGGAAGCAAGATTATTGCTCTGACATAGATTTTGTTTCATTTTTTTAAAGAAATAATTTACTTTTCTTAAAGAACTTGTAAACTTTTTTCCCAGTATCCCTTCATATCTAGGTTCTCTGATCTGCTGTTGTAGGTTGTGTGTGAAGAAATATGGATTTGTGTTCTAGGAAGTATTACTGTTAATATTTTAAATAGTGATGTGAAAGCCCAAGTGCTCCTATTATTTTTTTTTTTATTTGTTTTGTGTTCTGTGTATCACTGCTGAAAGTTGTGTTTATTTGGTGAGGTTGGAGCCAGCAGTCAACACCATGGTACCAAAAATATTTGCTTTCTTTTCCAGGCAAATCTGTGAAAACTGGAGAAATGTCCAGTTCAAACCTCCCTAGTAATTAAAATTCTTTGTAGATTGGCTACACTTGAGTAAAAACTTCACTTTAGGAGTGAGTTTAACATTCTAAATTTCACTTTTGGAATGAGGATGAAAGAAGAAGTTTGGGGAAAAATGTGTTTGAGTGACCCAGAGCAGTGAAGCATCAAACCCATCAAAACTCAGATTTTTAGGAGTGTAAAGATCAAGATTTGGAAGAAAATGGTCCTCAAGTGATGCTAAATGCATGTTAAAAAGAGCTGAAAAATCAACTTTTCTTTGTGGGAGGGTCCTGAGCTTAACGTGACGTCAGGCAAAGTTTGTACATAGTTCAAAGTTTTTAATTTTTTTTATATGATGCATTTTTTCAGGTGTATTTTGGTCTTTAATAGATGCAATTGTAAGTACTGTGTACACTCTCCAGCTAATAAAATTTATAAACTGAGAAGTTTTTGCTCTTTGTTTTGTGAATTTTGTCGTGGGCCAGGGGAGGGCAGCACAAACTCCACACCAACATTTCACCATCTCAAAACCCGCGGAGCACAAAGCTGGCAGTCATGAATTCTTCCCAGAATTGGTCAACGCGGTGATGATCACACAAAATAAAACCCTCATGCAAACAAACAAACAGAAAAAAAAAAGGAAATGACAGCGAGTAAGATCAGAGAACGGGAAGCTGAGCAGGAAATGAGGAGAACAATCACGCAAGCCTGTTTAGGAAGTCAGAAATCAGTTTCTTTAGCTATTATGATGTAATTTTCTAGGTTTTGGAGGTTTTTTTCAGACAATTTGCTGTAGAATTATAAAATAATCTTGGATATAATGGTACAAAAACTTGTGTGGCCACATCAAAGCAATCAACAAGAATTTACTTTCCTCTCTCACCCTCACCTTCAGAGCTGCAGAATCACTCACAGAGCAGATTTTATCCAATCCAGGATCCAATCCCTGCCTTCCCACCTTCCTTCCCTCCCCTGCCACCCACTATCCGGGCTGGAATCTTCCTGAAATCTTGATATCCAAAAATTAAACCCATTTTTGTGCCCTGTTCAGCATCCTCGGTTTCTAGCTCACGGAATTAAGAGGAAAATCTCAGTCAGCTGAATTTGGGGATTTATCCATAATCCCTGAGGGATGTTTTGCTCATTTCACCACGATCACAGGATTCTGCAGTTGGATCAACAGGGTGTAATTTGTAATAAAGTCAAGCTGGATTTATCCTGGAGGGACAGGTGTGTGTTAATAAACAACAAACAGGGAAATACAGAGTTATATCTTTGGAAAACAAATCACTACACTGCAGAGTAAATTCCACCCCAGGAGCTCAAGCCGATGACAATTGATACTATAAAATAGACAAATATTTTCCAAGCAGCCCCTTGTTTATTAGAACGTGTCAAACGCATTACTTGTCTCTCTGAAGCCCAGGAAAAATCTCACAGGTTTAAAATAAATCAGATTTTTTACCACTTTGCTGAATCTCTTCAGAATGGGCAGTAATTGATACTTTTTTGGTGAATATTTAGGTCCAGAGGAAGGAGCTCACTCGGCCTGGCTGTGGTGCTCTATCAGCTGCTGCCAGACACGAGCAGTTTCCTCTATTTGGGTTTGTAGCTCCCTGCTATTTAAAAAACAGAGTAATTTGGAAATGAAATGCACCCCAGCTTTCCTCTGGGTTTGCCCACCTGTGCTGTTAGAAAAGTGCAATTATTTTCCAGGATTCTGCATCTTTCTTTTCCCTTGCCCCATGCCCACCCTCAGCAGCTGGGTTCAAACCGAGCTGGGTGGTTTTAACTGAAGTGGTTTTGGGGTGTGGACATCAGCCCTGGTTCATCCACAGCTGCAAATATTTCCTCCTTGCCTCACGAAATTGGGGAAGAGCAGAGGGGATGTGTGGTGAAAGGGAATGTGAGCTCGAATGGGGCTTTGATCAGAGATACCTTGAATTTTGCACCAAACCCAGGGCTGGAGTTTCCTGTTGGCTCTCACAGGATGGGAGTAATGAGGGACAGGGAGTTCCTTTTCTTGTTTTTTTTTAGCAAACAGCCCCAAACGTTTTGATGAACCTCGAGTTGTGATTCATTGAGGGGGAAGAGAGGAAAAAACAAATCCCACAGTGTGCAGGTCACAGAGCCAACGTCAGCACAGAGGGAACGGGGAAGGACAGAACCAGCCCCAGAAATGTTTCTGCCCCAAACCCATTTGGTTTTGATTAATACAATCCTACCAAATTACATTCATTGGTTTTGAGGGTAATCAAAAAGTAATTGATTAATTTCTTTTTATTTCAGATGGCAAATTCCTCTCTGTGGATGCAGTCATACAAGTCACTGTCTAGACAGAGGACAGCGACCAACACAGAATTTTTTCCTCAAAAGTTGCTGATTTAAATTTGAGAACCTCACAGTGGTGGGATGGAAAGACCTTGGAAGGACAAAGGTTGCCACATGTCCCACCATGAATTTCAATCTCTGGACAAAACACAGAACTACTCTAAAAATGAGAACCCAAAAGTGTAATTAAGCAATTTTCAGTCATTGCTTCTGTGGGCAATGAGAGGTTGGGCTCTGAGCTGCTGTTTCTGCTGGCTCTGGATGTTCCAGCCTGTCCTGCAGGCTCTGAGTGTTCCTGGATGTTCTGAACACTCCAGGGTGTCCCAAGCATCACCTCTGTTCTGTCACCTGCTGTCCTGCAGGAATCCACACCAAGCCAGAGAATCAGCTGGGTTTTATTCAGTTTTGCAGGGAAAAAGAAAAGTCAGTGCCCATGGGTTCGGGAGCCTGGGAGAAAACACAGGGAGAACAACAGAGAGACAATTCCTGTGTTCACAAAGTCCCTCCAGAGAGGAGAAGCTGCCTCAGAGGTGCAAGGAGACCCCATCCCTGTCCTGGTGTGTCCTGCAGTTCCTCACCCCTTTCCAACAGGGGTTTTCTCCCAAGCATCCTCACCGTCCAAAGCAGCTTTTGGGAGCTGCTCTTCCTCACCTTGGAAAGACAGAATTTGTCACCTGATGTGACAGGAAGCTGATGGGTGTCAGTTCAGAGCATGATGGAATGGTCCTGGGAATGAGGTCTGGAATAACTGCCTGGGGATGAGACACCAAGGGGAAGAGGTGATGAAGAAGATGGGAACCTCTCCAGAGTGACAGGTTCTTCCAGACCTGTGTTTAGTAGTGGTCCTTTCCTTGTGGCAGGTGGCCTTTTCCATGGATTTGCCTTTTCCATGGATTTGCCTTTTCCATGGATTCCTTTGGCTTGGCTCACGCAGAGCTCTCCCAGGAGAGGCCGATTCCATCATGTCCAAGGTCAGCAGGGACTGGGAGCTCCTGCTGCTCACCCAGTTCTGGGTTCTGCCCTCTCTCCCTGTTCTTCCTGCTGTGGACAACAGCACCGACCAGCACAGCCACCATGAACTTGGCCACCAGGAATCCACCCAGGATGTAGAAAACAGTGAAATCCACGTCAGGAGGGGACCTGTGGGGAACCAGAAACACAACCATGAAGGGGATGGTCCAACCTTGAAAAAATCTCTTGTGGTGCTGCCTTGGTCCTAGGAAGATGAGAGATCTCAGCACGAGGAGTTTTGGGCTCACCTGGAGATGCTCTGCACAGCTCTGGGCTCCTCTGGCACGTGGGTCACCAGGTCAGCTGCTGATAGAAACACAACAGTTTAGTCTGCAGATGTTTCTGGGTGATGTTAGCTGGACAGGTAACCCAGGTGAGATGGGGCACTGGGAGCAATAAGGAGGTGATATTTCAGATACCCTCTAACAGTGAGGCCACGCTGCTGTAAATCAGGAATAAAGAGAGGCCCATGAAACACAGAACCTCCTTAGAGCGAGACCAAAGTAGATGTTGACTCAAGTGGGTCCTTG